GTCCTGGCCGCCAGTGAAGACCGAGGCAAAGAACTCATTCAGTACCTCGGCCTTCTCTCCGTCCGTTGAAAACAGTTCTCCTTTTACGTTTACCAAAGGAGCTACACTCGCTTTGGCCTGTCTCTTCTGGCTAATGTACCTATAGAAAGTCTTCCTGTTGTTTTTCACGTCCCTCGCCAAGTTCAGTTCCACCTGCGCCTTGGCCTGATCCCACATCTGCAAATCCGGACAACATCCCTGTGTTCTTCCCAGGTGGTACGTCCTTGTTTCCAGAGTTTGTACGCACCTTTCTTCGCCCTCAGCTCCCTCAGCAGGTCCTTGCTGAGCCACGCCGGCTTCCTGCCTCCTCTGCCTGCTTTCTTGTTCAGTGGGACAGAGAGTTCTTGCGCTCTCAGGAAGGCGTCCTTGAAGAGTAACCAGCTCTCCTTAGCATTTTTGTTCTTAAAGAAAGCATCCCAGGGGATCTCGGCCAACAGTTCATTGAACAGCTTAAAGTTTGCTCTCCCAAAGTTCAGGGTCCTGATGCCACTCTTCACCAGGCCCACATTTCTCGAGATCACAAACTTGACCAGAGCGTGTTCACTGCAACCCAGGCTGCCTCCAACCTTAACACCATTAATTATTTCCTCCGCATTGGTGAGCAGCAGGTCCAGCAACTTCTGCTCTGGCCTGACTGTAGAAGGGTTGAGCTTTCAGTTCAGTCAGCATCACAGTGCAGTGGTCAGAGCTGAGGGTTTGCGCAGGTTTCAGGAAATCCCACCCCTTTTCCATCCCAGAAGACAGTGCACATCACTCATCTTGCTTAGGGTTTTGTCATGGACTTTTTCCTTGATGGGGAATTCACATGTTACCACTCCATGGACTGCCCTTTGACTCTGGCATATAGTGGTGACACAAATCTCATCACCAGTAATGATTCAATCCAGGAAACTCTCACCTTCACCATGTATTAGTTCAATAGATCCTGACAAAATTGCATATGGTGTTCTTTCTGTTACTTAATGAGCATTTGTGGGAACCACCTGGTGCAGACTGCGAGATTTTAACACTTATACCGTTGTTTCCAATGCACTGAGGCCAGTATTCACCTCTTACAGAATCATAGGTTCTTAGGTTGGAAAAGACCTTAAAGATCGAGTCCAACCACAATGTAACCATACCACCCTAACAACCCACCCCTAAATCATGTCCCTGAGCACAATATCCAAACGATTTTTCAACACATCCAGGGATGGTGACTCAACCACCTCCCTGGGGGAGCCTGTTCCAGTGATTAACAACCCTTTCTGTAAAGAAGTTTTTCTTGATGTCCAACCTAAACTTACCCTGGTGCAACTTAAGACCATTTCACCTTGTCCTGTCACCAGTGAGAAGAGATCAATCCTGCTCTCGTTGTTGTCACCTTTCAGGTATTGGAAGAGAGCAGTAAGGTCTCCCCTCAGCCTCCTCTTCCACAGACTAAGCAGCCCCAGTTCCTTCAGTCTCTCCTCATAGGCCATATTCTCCAAGCCTTTCACAAGCCTTGTTGCCCTTCTTTGGACCTGCTTGAGTACCTCAATGTCCTTTCTGTGTTGAGGTGCCCAGCCAGCTTCACCACGAGGATGCTGTGGGGGACAGTGTCAAAGGCTTTACTGAAGTCCAGGTAGACCACTTTGACAGCCTTCCCTTCATCCATTAAGTGGGTCACCTTGTCATAGAAATCAGGTTTGTACACAGCTCTGTACACAGTTGTACTCCGGTTGTGACCAACTGATTTGTGTTGATGAGCTGATCCAGAGTCTCTTCATTTTGTGGTGCGAGAGCTGTGCATGGCTGTCCAGAACATGACTGTCTTTCATGCTGCTGTTGCCAATGCTGAAACAAAGCACCCATCCCTCACTGTATCAACATCCTCTGTTTGGTCTCCACAGACTTTCAGCAAACACTGTTGAATGTCAGTGGGTGCCATTTTATTCACATAGAGGAATTCAGTTCCACCCCTATGCTTCATTTGCACTTGCATGTCAGACACTGTTCTGTAAGACTACAAAAGGTAATGGGATATTGGTGGGAAGGTTCAACCTCTACTGCCATCCCACCAACTGACATTGTGGGCCAATCCAATGAAATAGGAGGCAGTACTTTCAGAGCATCCCCCTTTCTTGACCTAGATGAACCTGATCTCCTTACAAGCGTCTGTCTTGTTTTATCTGAGCTTTGAACTAAGTTGAAAAAAAAAAAAACAACCAAAAAAACCCCTTATTTTTTAAAATGCTTCTTAATAAATAAGCAGCTTCACTTATTTGTACCAATCTGCTCTGTCTCTCACATTTTTAAAAGTATTTCACACATTAAAGGATCTGGAAATGTGGGGTTCTGCACTTTTCAGTATAGAAAATGTAAGCTTTTAAAGAAGAACAGCAATTTTATGTAGCGGAGGAATTGTTGACACATTGGAATGTGAGTACTTGAGAGCATTGCTTAAGAAAAATGTCTGTGGTCACCAGTTCTGGAGTCAGAGAAGCAAGTGGTTGTGTATCTAATAGAACGTAGGGGAAATCAGAGGTGCATCTGTTAAAATGCCTTCCTTTAGCAAAACTATGGCCTCTGGAATGAGAAAAGACAAAGACTAAACATCTCAAAATGCCTTTCTTTTTGCACCCAGGTAAAAACTCTAGAATACATCAAGAGGCGAAGCAAGCAACCTGACATGAGTCACTTCACAGACTTGGCCCTTCGCCTTCCTCTGCAGTCCAGAACCTGATGAACGCCTCTTACGTAAAAGTGAGCATGTAGCCAAGGCCACAAATTGCTGATTCTTCTGGTCTTTGACTGGAGTTCACTGTGTTTGAATTTTACTTAGTGTGACAGATTTACTTGGGTACAGGTAAAACTGTTCTGAGTGCAATAATTTAATCTGAATTTTTTGTTTCCAGTTCTGCCACTGTATTTTAAATCCAGGTTAGATTCAGTAAAAGTTATTTCAGCCTTTCCAAATAAAATTTGTTGTCATTTTTAGTGACAAAGGAATAAAATCTGATACTCTACACAGATCAATTCACAGCCCCCAGACTTCATCCTGCCTGTAGAGCAGCGTTTCTCCTGTGTAGAAAGCAGTATTTCAGAGTAGTAATCCCACTAAATTGTTCTTCTGCTTTGGAATGCTGCCAACGTTTGGTCATTTCCAGTAAGAGAAAAATGGACCAAGTGTTACTGTTCTAATGTACATTTTCTCAGCTGTGTTTATAATATCACTTCAGTTCAGTAGTGTTTTGTATTATTAAATGCTGTCTGCAGAGGAAAATGGAAATGTATGCACAGCATTCCATGTTCTCTAGTATGCTATATCACTGAATAAAGCAGTGTGCAGCTCACCTGTTTGTTCTGGAGGAGTTCCTTTGTGTATACAAGTTTATTACCTAGTCATGCTGTATATTTAACTCTTATACCTAGCAGATTTCATTCTGTCCATTTCTGTCCTGTGCTAAGCAACCACGATGTGACCTTGCATCATCTATTGGTACTTCTGTGAGTGGTATTTTAATGACTGAAGTCATATATTAAGATGTATTTGCACAGAAATGTTCTCTTTGTTAAGGCAGATGTCCTAGTTTCAGCAGGGATAGAGCTAATTTTTCCTTCACACTGTCTGGTATGAGGCTGTGTTTTCGCTTTAGGAGAGACTGTTGTTAACACACAGATGGTTGTGTGCTGAGCATTGCTGTACAGAGCCAAGGATGTCTCAGTTTCTTGGCTTCTCTTGCTCCGAGGGGGCCGGAGGGGCACAAGGAGCTGGGAGGGAACAGAACCAGGACAGCTGCCCTTGACTGGCCAAAGGGATATTCTGTACCACATGGCATCATGCAGAAGAAGCTTGAAAACAGGGAGTTGGTCAGGGTGGGTAGCTGCTGCTTGGGGACTGGCTGGGCATCGGTCAGCGGGTGGTGAGCTACTGCTTTGTGCATTGCTTCTTTTGTCCATATATATGTATTACACACATATATATAACTTGTTTTCCTTTTTTGATAAATAGTTTTATTTCAACCCTCAAATTCTACTTTGTGGGTTGTTTTTTTTTTTTTTTCTTGTGATTCTCTCCCCCATTCAACTGGGAGTTGGGGGAAGTGAGCAAATGACTGTCTAGTGTTTAATAGCAGCTAAACATATAATTGGTTTTGCTAGAACCATTCATTTCCAACCTTCGGTACCCAATTTAATTATACTTTCTTTAGATAATTCTGTATAGCCTATGCATACAGTAAGATGGCAGTACTGCACGTATGTTATGTCATTCTATGATTTAGTTTCCCTTTTTGCTGCAACTGCACTAAACAACTCTCAGCAGCACATGGATGATTCTTTCTGTTAGACTTGGAAACTGGGTAAGTGGGATTGAACTGAGCTGTTTAACCAGCCAAGTAGGTCACAGAGAGCAGCTGCGGTATGGCAGAAATTGTCCTGCAGAGGTAAATGTACTGCTACAAAACCAAAACCCAGCGTGGAGCTGTTCCAGGTTCTGTAAAATGGAAACTTACAGCAGGCTTAGTAACAGCACAACCGACCATTACTTTTCCCCACAGAAAAACCCATTTTTGCCTGTCATCTTTTGTGCACAGTATAACTTCATTTTATTTATTGATGTAAGACTGCCATGAGAGAGGTTTTCAAGTGTTTTACTGATGCTTTTATTAGAGCAAGAACAGCTCAGTGATATCCAGAAAGCTCTAATTAGTTCCAGGAGCAAACCTTAAACATCCAGCCTTGAAGCTCGCCCCACTGCTCTAATAACCTGCTTTTGGCTTACTTCCATGTTAGAGGAAAAATAGTTTAAGCATCCCGCTTACTATACACCTTTCTGGCTTCTGTATATAGTAAATACACAGGCTAGAGCAAATTTGACTGCTTGAATGAAGTTTTTGTCCCAGATGTCTGTCTTGTTTTTCCAACTGCGACACAACATTAGCAAGGGCAAGGTGTCAAGCCCTGCACAGAGCTACAGTTCAGCAAGTGTTATACATCATATACATCTAGAGGGGGAAACTATCCACATCCAAATGTAAGTGTAGAACTATTATCCCCTTCAGCCTCTTCATCAGTGGCAATGCAAGGCTAGTCACTACATAACCAGTAATGGCTCTGCAGCATCTGTACATGCTGTTCTGTCCTTCCCTTCTTAAAGGAAGCCATCAGTTAACAATTTCCCACCTATTCCATTATTTTAATGCATTTTTTGTCAAGTAGTTGAAGGCCTGAATTCAGCATCTGTCTTTAATCAGAATGTTTTCTGATTCTGAACCTGTGCTACTTGAAGCAAAGCCACAGCAGCAGCCCAGCAAGGCACTGAAGCCAGTCTTTAAATGCAGTGGTCTCTCAAAGCCAAGTCCAGGCCCTGTAGGAAAGTGGTTCAGTATCTCCTTCCCCAGGTATGGCTTTTGCTGCAGTCTCTGCATGATTTTTCATTTCCCCTTAGGACTTGCCCGAAATACACTGAAACCAAACTGTTCTGCAGGAGTATTTTCTGCCAGGAGTCAGCTGCTTTCAGGCACAGCAGTCCAATAGAAAAGGCTACTGTGCAAAGAAAGGTTGCCTTAAAAGAACAAAAAATTTAGATTAGTTTGCACCATCTTATCAGAAAGGATAGGTAAAACAAAAACAATGAGATGTAAGCAGAGACAGTAACGTGTGTTGAGCATGGTGGGTTCCTTGCAAGGAGGCCACCATTGCTACAGCAGTCCCAGACACAAGAGATGCTCATCTTGTCATGCTCAAGAATCAGGATGACATGAAAATTTACAGAACACCGTATCCCACAACAAGCAGACAGTGATGGAATATGGGACATTTCTTCAACTGTCTTTTTGTAACTTCCCACAGGACACTGCTCTGGACCTTTCAATTCTGAACACAACATAAACAATAACTCTTAATAGTTTGTATTCAGAAAATGAAAGTGCAGTTTGCGTGAAAGTCTGAAGATTAAAAATTTCATTTATAATAAACCCATAAATGCAATATTAAAATCACCTTCCTTTTTATAATTGTGAATAGGTTTCCTAAAAGTATTTACCTTCATTTACAGGTAACAGCTGCTTCTTGAAATCAAACTGCTAGAGCTGAAACAGGACATTCAAGAGAACCTTTATTATGAGGATGCCAATAGTCAAGAAACCACTTTCATCGTTAAGTCTCTCCTCATCATTTGTAGGCAACCCAGTAATATTTCTTCCAAGTAAAACGCCATCAGTTTGTACTGCTTATTGAGTGTAAAAACATGAAGACTTTACAGAATATTAAAATCCTTTTGAATCACAAAGATGCAGCTAAAAATAAAAATCTATTTTTTAAAAAATTACCAATTTTTTACCTTCTTGCAGACACTGTCCACATCTCTTCAATCTTTAAGGGAAACTTTCTCTTGACTGTGGAAAATGCTGGAAAGGTTTGAGAACCTACTGTTCGTAGCTCCATTTGTGTCCAAGTGAGGACACAACCGCATGTAAACTAGAAGCTGATAACTTGTACTAAAAATGCCTCATAAGTACGATTTATTGAACAATTCATATTTTATTTCATGTAAAAATAAGTGGAAAGCAAAAATAAATTTCCCTGTTTTCATTCTATTACTTCAGTTTTAATCTTCAAATTTTACAGATCTAGATGCGTATTTGTCTATGTACACTTTCTTGTTGGCAGCAGGTTGAAATCCAAGACCAATTCTTCTGTGTTGCTTCAAGTCCATTGCTTTATCGAATTCCATCTTCAGAGCCTGCTGTAACTTCTCCTCCCCTTCTCTGTTCAGAGCCATGTTCGATTTGCTTGTAGTCACTGAGAGATCTTCCATAGGTGCAGAGCCCTTTTTGAAACCACCCATCAGTCGAAGAAATTTCATTCCTCGCTCAGAACTTTGAAAAGCAGCTGTACTCCACTGGCCAATCTTTGTATCCTGTGAAACACACACAATGAGATGAACACTAAAATACCAACACGACTGACAACTTCCAGCTGTGTATCACCAGCCACCGCCACCTGACAGGGCAGGCTGCTGGAAGCAGTCATTCACATGCAGCACCTCTTGCAGTGTGTAATTAGACTGCCATAACACAATGCAAGTGCAGCATCATTAGCAGAGGAATTCACTTAGCCTGGAGACAGCATTTAATGCACTTTCAGATTCTTCTTTTCATCTGTATTCACAAATCTTGACTTTCCTGCTCTCTAGTCAGAGCACCAGACCCTGCACAGATATTTCTCTTACTCTAAGACAATTCTCTCACTCTGTTAGCTCTTACAGCAATTTTTAATTTTTCTACTGCCTTGATTAGGTAGCTTTTGTTTCCCAAATATTTTGTTGTATTAGTGTTAGAGACAGTATTCCATCTGGCTCATGTAATTTCAGTACCAAGGGCATTCTCATCCCACTACTTACCAACTTGATTGCAAGGGTACAAAAATTCTAGGGCATACACTTAACCAACAGGACTAAATGTAATGCCCTTAGAACCTCCCTTGCATTTTGCCACCCCATAACTCTGTCATTCACTGTATTCTTTGAACAAATTACTCCAAGTTTTTTTTGTTTTTGATATTGGTTCCTTTCTGAGACTGTAGATAACATCCAAGTAGAATCAAAATTCAACCATTTGTGTTTGCAAATAACCCAAGACAGAGGGTATGATTTAAGAAGTTCATGACCTTTTGGCTTAGTTATGAACATACTTCGTTACCTAAGGATCTTTTTTGACTCTTGAGCAACAGTAGAAGCTATGTGGTCATTTCTAACTACTTCTGTCAGAACTGCTACTCCCATATTTTTCTTTATAATTGGAGTGATATTAAATGGAAGAATGTTTGATCATTAGTTAAACATGATTAAACTGATCTGGTTTCATCCCAGGAAAAAAATGTGAATTTAGCAGTATGTTTATGTGAGTCTGAAATCCTTCCAACTAAACAGTTGTAACTTACATGAAACAGTCGTTCTTCACCAGACAGCCAACATGACACACAGCATGCTATGCAGTATTGAAGGCAAGCTGTAGCCGGTGTTATAAAAATGCAGAGCTGGAGTATCCTCCAGTATCACAGGCCAGAATACTGATATTAGAAGAAAGTTATCCATAATACTTTTTTAAAAAACAAGGATAAGCTGCTGTATAAGCCCTGCTCTGTGACACAAATGCAGACATATAAAAAATAAGTCTTCCCTTTGGAACAGGAGACGGATATCTGCACTGATGCAGAAATAATTATGGCTTGTCAAACCTGTTTTTTTTTTTTTTTTTTTTTTTTTTTTAAGTGAACTGCTGGCAAGCACTGGACACAGCTTTTGCTGCAGTATTTCTAGCTCTGTCCTTTTGAAGCCCATCAATTACTTTTCATAGCTTTTATTCTTTTATGTATTAATAAACAATGACAGATGAACACCAAAGAACTGGGATCCCCTGCCAAAGAAGTCATTTTCCCTTCGGAGACTATCAGGTGCAGTTCAGGACGCACTGCAGTCTTGCTCCTACTCCATAAAATTTACATGATTTATTTCTGGGATTTGTTAAGATCCTAGAAAGGCATTAATGGCCTTTCTAGTCCTGAGCAACACTTCTGCAAACAACTAAAGAATCCCACATTTTTAGCAAAGTTTCCTCTCTTTCTGACTCTTATTATTCCTGCTGAACACTGCTGCACTAGTTATCTGAGAGGTAAACCTGCCAGAAGGCAGGCTGAGTAGGATGCAAAAGCAAAAAAATAAAGAACAGTCTTTCAAAGAGGTGGAAAAATGATGTATAAGTTAGGAGGCTATTGGCTGTAGATACTGCAGACTTGTACTGTCAGTTACCATCCCTCTCACCTTTTCACATGCATCTCCATTTCGGAATGTCTGCAAATTCTTCTAGATAGCAATTCAGATAAAATTCAATGACATCTATGACCATGGCCTAGGATCACTTATATTTCACAGTAAGTAGAAAATGGCTTTGTAACAATTCTTTGTAGCAAAATCTCCAGAGAAACTAAGGAAAACACTGCTTTTCAGTACTCATGATGGGAATCAGACCTCTAAGCAATTCCAAATGACGTTAAGAATTCACTGGTCAGCTCCCAGATTCTCTCAGTATTATAATTCGTTCCATAGCATGACTTTCAATTTACAATCAGAAGGAGAATGGTTGTGCCAAGCCAAAAACATGAGCCATGAACAGAAAAAAAATGCTGTTTTCAGTGCTTTTCTTTTTCCCCAGGAAGTGGCTCCGGGACATAGTATTTCCATCAGATCAAAGTCTGAATTCATACGTACCATGTTCTCTTTGGGACTGAAAATGTTAGTTTTTCCAGATTCTCTATCAATCTCTTCTTGCAGAGCCTGCCGCCTCGCCTAGCATACAGAGAAAAGCAACACAAGCCACTGTCCTCTGTGTTAAACAACACTTAATTTAATTCACAGTAAGAAGATGAGGGAAGATTAAGAAGATTATTCGTCTTCAGTATTTTGTAAGGATAATTAAGAAAGTTGCATGTGATCTTCTTACACACTCCACTTAAGAGCTCTGCATTTTCTAGTGCTAATTTCATTGAACATTCTGTAGTATCATATATGTTTAAACTTCTAACTGCAGGTAAGAGCTATGCTGAAACTGCCAGCAGCAATGAGAGGCAAAAGAGCCTTTATTTAACTGAATAGGCTACTTAGAAGCTTCTGATATTGAGTGAAGCTGTATATTTTTACTTTACCCATGAGAGCAAAAGAAAATCATAAGCAAAGGTCTACTTAAGAAAAGATTGGCATAGACCAGCAGAAGGCATTCTTTTTGTTACAAATCCTATGTACACCCTACTACCTTAAAGCTTACTTGCTTTAAATCGTGCTTAACTGAGATAAAGCATACCTTGTCTATATTAATTTCATCACAGTTTCCTTTTTTTTCCTGCACAACAGTCACATCATCCACATCTTCCTGTAAAACAGGGAAAAACTCATATGAATATTATAATCCATTCTTCTTAATTAATTTACACAGGAGTAAGCAGAGAAATCACTAAGCAATGAGCAGTACTATTGAGGATCAAAAGAAACAGTCAGATCAAAGCTGGAAATTCCTCTACCTTTCTTTGGAGGGATTTTCTCCCTCCACTCCAAAAAAAACCTTACAAACAGAAATTTAAACAAGTACTTTTAATAAATATGCACATATATAGCAATAAAGATAAGGGACTTTTTGATTCACACATTAAAATGGACCTGCCAGTATCAATAGCACATACATACACTAATATTTGCAGGCAGGAGCACTTCAAATCAAAAGCTATTGTAGAAGTTGAAATTTGTAATTGAAATAAAAGGCAAAAATAGTACAGTTAAAAATAAAATTAAGAAGTTAAACCAGTGGTAACATAATGGCCAATCTGAACGTACATGGCAGCCCTGAAGCATGCTGACCTCACTACCAGCACCAAAACAAAAACCAACCAAACAAAAAAAACTCAAGAGCCATCTGCTTTGTGCCAGGTCTTGTACAAATCCAGAAGCAATGACAGTCCCCAAAAAGCTTCCAGTCTGGAAAGAGGAGAGGCATGATGCATACATAAGCTGCCCCTATCATGGCAGCATCGGCACATTAGTTCCACATGTGAGAGTGAGGAACAGGGAACTCACGCTGACAGAGCAGCTGTGGCAGGAAGGGACGGGCAGGCTGGCAGGGGCCAACAAGCAGCCCACAAAGTGCAGCCCTTCAGCAACGCCTGCTCCCACTGACTGCAGTTTCTAGATCACTGCCCCCAGGCTTTCTTTCCCAAATGTGTGCTAAGATTTTGGGGCGCCCACTGTAATAGGGTTAAGTTTTAAGTCCAGGACAGTGGTAAATCTAAGCCATAAGCTTTAGACCACCTGGAAAATATGGCCAGGGGGAAGATCTATTGATACAGCTAACAGTAATCCAAGCATGAAATAGCCACAGAACATTAAGACACAGAAAAGATCTGTAACATACTTCTGCAAGCAGAAGCAGCTGTTAATTTTTGAAGGTTTACAGTATTATCTAAAGCCACAAATGATTTACTTAATTTTCCAAAGCTAGCTTTTGTGCGCTGCTTTCACACACAACTACACTGACTATCAAAAATGAGAATGCTGTCAGCAATAAGAGGAGCTTATTCTCTTAACTGAAAAAAGAAAAAAAAAAGCCAAAAAAACAACTTTGTTCTAGATGGCCTGGTACTGTCTATTCAGATCTCTTAAAACAAGCAGGAAAGCTGCTGTGACAGGACTTTGCAAACAGCTGCACTGGGTTCTCTTTTAGCTGGGAGGATCAGAGGCAGACAGGCAGGGAGGAGCAGTCCACCTCCATCTGGGCCAATGTGCAGCATGTTTTTGAGCTGCTGAAGGTCACTGAAAGGCAGTAACAAACCCGTCCAGGGGTATGCTGGCCTCATGTCCCCCACGCTGCAGGAAGGGGAGCGCATTCACACACAGAGACAACTTCAAAGAGGTACATCAAGTCCTCTGACACTGGATGTGCATCTGCTCTATTTGTTATCTGACTCTCCTTGGGCTCCTTAATAGTTATGACGTCTCTTAAGCACAAGCCACACAAGGTGCTGTGGTAGCACTTCCGCTCTGTAGCTGAGTGCTTTCTTACAAGGAGGAAAATCCCATATGTGTGGTGGTGATGTCTCTGCAAGCAAGAATGACCACCTAAGCACAATGCCTGCCACTACATAGACCAGAATTTGTTCACTTGCAGCGTTATCTCCTTCTAATGTCAAGAAAAACACAGAACATAAGATCCCAGACCCCACAAACACCAGTGCAGGCATTCATCCACGTGGCAGAAGGCTGAGCTGGGGATGCCCATCACTGGCAAGTTCCTCTCCCCCGCATACAGAGACTTGCAGCCCATGGTGCTTGTACAAGCTGCTGGTACTCTGATGGACATCTTCCAAAGGAGGGAACAACAAGAAGGAATATTTATTGGCAAAATACTTTCAGGAACTGTCTGCTCTATTTTTGTATTTTAACAAAGGAACTGAAAACAGCCTGCATCACAAAGATAGAGGTTCAGCATACAGTGGCCTGAGAAGTGCCAGCAGCACAAGAGTTCACTGGGAGCATAATCAACTCATGCTGACTTTCCCCAGAAATGCCTCTATGTCAGCATATAGCAATGCTGGAGTTAGTTGTGCATGTTTTATATCAACAGACACATTCAGTAATAACCATCCTCTTTCTCCCTCTGGATTATCTCAGCCTTCCCTGTGCAGCTTTAGTTGGCTGTAACAGCATCCAATGGGAAAACACAAATCTTTGATATTAAGCAGGTATGATTCCACAACAATCACTACTCTCTTTGCTGCAGAAACCTAACAGAGGATTCTTCAAGGCATGCAGCAGCATGTGATGCAGTACAGCCCAGAAAATGGTTAAAGACTGAGACACAATTAAATGCGAGGCTGACATGATTGGCCATTTATTCCAGCAGTCTTTGAGCCTAGCAGTAACTAGATGTCCCAATTACCCAGAGTTCTAAATCCTGAAAACTTCTCTGAAATGCCTTTTTACTGCTGTACAGAGCTGAATACAGGGAAGAGAACCAAAACGTGCATCACCCTACCCCGCTCTCCTTAGTAGATCACAAAGGGTTTGCTATGTTTTCCATATCCAGTTACCACTAATATACAAGTTTACTTATCATCATAAGGCTCACCTTGCCTCCACTTGCACGAGCAGCTGCAGGAATCTAAATAATGTCCAACAGTCTCAAAGAGACTATACCCTTTGAAAGGTCAAAAGGAGAAAACATTGCAATAGTCTTATTCTTCAAAAGTTTTGAAGAAATCCCCGTAAGAGAAATCTTTTCTCTTTTACATACACTTAGCAGATCTGTTTCCCCTGTTATTTCATCAGGTTCTCTCCACGTTTGCCTCACCACAGAAATGGCAGTACTCTGACTCTTGAATGAGATTTCCTTTAGCAGTTCCATTTACCTCAAGTTAAAAGTTACACATCTTCCAAAGATGTGTGGTGCTCTCGAATCTTGTTTTTCATTTTGTATACCTTTCCACCCACCTCATATTAGGAATTTGGGTTCCAGTTTTTGACTGGGTTGTTCCCTGATTTTCTATCACAATTTATGCAATGACTGGATAAAAAATCTCCCATTTTCTAGCACTACACAGTTCCAGCAGTTTTCCATCTTGGGGAAAAAAAAAAATTGAGTCAGAATGTTATCTACCTGAACTAATTAAATGACATAGTATTAAAATGCTGTGTTGTATCATAGTTATGACTTTGATAGGAACAAGTGAAAGAAGAACATAGGTAACTATACACACTAGCATTCTTTCTGCTCCCATACTTGCTGCTAGGTAATTTAGGCATTTTATATTTTCACAGTTGAAACACTTAAATGACTACGGAATCAGGCATTAAAAAACATACTTTCCTGCATTTCACAAACACAACATGCTAAAAAATCAATGGACGCTCTGATTTTGTGTCTGTTTCTTAAAACCCAGAGGAGTACCCTTACTGACTTAAGTAAGTGCAACTTAACCGTCTGAACATGCAGAAGAGACTACAAAACAGGGTAGGATGGCTTAAGAAGCCTTCAGCTCCAAAGCAGGAGGGCACCTTCTTAACAACTTACCAACATCTTATCTCCCCCATCTTCTATTTTCATCCTTTTCTTTTTGATACTTGCATTTGATCTTGACTCTTCAGCAGAATCCTCTGGTACTGTTTTCCTTTTTTTGTCACAGAGCATATGATTAGAATTGCATAACATCCTATCACCTGCAGTGTCCCTTGTGACACATTCAGCTGGCTTCATTTTTCTCTCTTTGTTGTTTTTGTTGCTTTCTAGGGGTGTTATTTTTTGGCTTTTAGGTGCACGGTCTTTTTCAAAAGTTGTTTCCTTATCTTTTTTAATCTTCCTTTTCTTTTTCTTCTTGGTTGCTTCATTATTATTCTTGCTTTTCTTCGAGATTTTTCTCCCAGACAGCTCTTCCTCCTCAGACTCAACTTCTTGCAATGTAGGGAGATGCTCATCAAGAACTCTCTGTCTGTAGCACTGATGATCTTTACACTTTAAGGAGGAAACATCTTTGCTTTTTTTCTTCTTCTTCTTCTTCATCTCTCTGACACTTTCTGGGTTCTCAGTAGCGTCCTTTTCCTCCTTATCTGTCAATCTAATTTCTTTCCTGTGACTTTCTCCAAAGCCACTTAATGCAATGGAACTATAACAAACTGTAGAGATGTTCTGATTACCTGCTAGTGGCAAAAAGGAGTCAGATTTCTTTTTCTTCCTCTTCTTTCTTCTCATACAACCCTTCCCATCGTTATGGATAGTATCTGTTCCATGTCTGTCACCAGTAATAGATCTTCCTTCTGAAGGATGCACATTTGTTTCTCTGCAATCTTTTTGAGACTGTTTATATTCACTGTCCTGGATGTCTCCTAATGCTAAAGAAAAGGTGTCTTTCTTCTTTTTTTTCTTAGCTACTTCACCATCCAATTTCAAATTCAAAGTGTTATTTCTTCCGCTTTTTGCAAATGCAAATTTATTTTCCTGCATATCATCTGAATAATGATTTGAAAGCCCCATGTCACTATTTTGTTCACTCTCCAGTGATAAAGAGGCATGATATCGGTCTTTTTTTCTCTTCTTTTTGAACACTTTACCTTTAGAACATTTTACCTCTGATTCTTGTTCTAAATCCTGATGACCTTGTACATACAAAAAGTCTTCTGAACATGCTTCTTTTGGTAATTCAAAGCGAACCTTCCTCTTCTTTTTTTTCTTCTTCTTCAGATTTAATTGGTCTGAACATTCATCTTCTTTGACATTTTCCTTCTTCCTTACCTTTGTTTTTGTCTCAAACCAGTCATCATCCTCTACTTCAGTAACAGCCTGAATTCTTTTCTCAGTTTTAATGACAGTCTGGCTCCCACTGCTTCTCACTTTTTTCTTTTTCTGTGCAGTTTCTTCATGAACCTGTTTTCGCTTTTTATTGACTGTCATTCTAAAAAAAATGAAAATAAATAAACTTTAAAAAAGGAAATAAAGATTTTACTGTGCAGCTTCAAGACAACATTGCAAATTCTGGCCTATCTGGTGTTCCCTTCCTCTGAAACCTGTCCACATCTCCGATTGCAAAACTGGGAAAAACAGCATCAGAGACCACAGATTTTCAGAGATGGAGGAACCAGAAGCATACACTGCACTGAAGTGCAGTTACTGGAGCAGTGAAGAAGTTGCCTTATTCTTTCTTTTTAGCAGCTTAAGAGCTCTTACTGTCACAAAAACATCTATCCTTCAAAACTCCTTCCTAGCAAGACATATACAGAATCACAGAACGGCCTGGGTTGCAAAGGAGCACAATGCTCATCCAGGTCCAACCCCCTGCTGTGTGCAGGTCACCAACCAGCAGCCCAGGCTGCCCAGAGCCACATCCAGCCTGGCCTTGAATGCCTGCAGGGATGGGGCATCCACAGCCTCCTTGGGCAACCTGTTCCAGTGCCTCACCACCCTCTGAGTGAAAAACTTCCTCCTAATATCCAACCTAAACCTCCCCTGTCTCAGTTTAAACCATTCCCCCTGGTCCTATCACCATCCTTCCATGTAAACAGATGTTCCCCATCCTGTTTATATGCTCCCTTCAAGTACTGGAAGGCCATGATGGGGTCTTCCCAGAGCCTTCCCTTCTCCGAGCTAAACAAGCCCAGTTCCCTCAACCTTTCTTCAGGAGAGGTGCTCCGACCTTCTGATCATCTTAGCAGCCCCGCTTTGGATTCTGGATATAACGTATACACAGTACAGTTTAGGCAGATTTCCACGTAAGTAAGAGGCCACACTTAGGCACCCCAGCTTTGTATCCCCTCATCTTCCACGTAACACCCCAGGATCCTTACAAGGCACGTCAGTCCCGGTACGGAACGGCCCCGCCGCCCCTCTGGGTCCTACGAGGGGGTGACAGCAGCGGCCCGCAGGGCACCCTTTTGCTAAGGAAACCCTCGTGCCTGCTTCGGTTCTCATCTTTTAACCGACAACGAATGCACACAGGGCGCTCCCGTAAGGCCCCGCAGAAGGAAAGGCGCTTCCCCCACCCCTGGTCTTTCTGGCCGCGCAGCCACCCTCCGCGGGGCCGCCGGAAACCTCGCCTCCTGCCGGAGGTACGGATGAGGCCCCGCGCCGGGCGGGACGATAGGAGCGGGATTCAGCCCGAGCTCTCCGCTTCCCTCACGGGCAGCGCGAACGGGCCGTACGCACGAACCCACACGCAGCGGCGGCCGCCCCTTACCTGCCGCGGCCCACGTGCAGCGCAGCGCGCCGCCCCGGAAGCAGAACGGCCCCGCGACCGCCGCCCCGCCCCGGGCCCCGGTTGCCGTGGCGACGCGGCGCGAAATGGCGGCGGGCGGGCCGCGGCCGGGCCTGTGGGAACGGCTGTGCGCAGGTGGGCCCCCCCGGCGCCGCGGGAGAAGCGGCCTTCCCGCGGCCCCGCTGCCGCAGGGTGGGGGCACGAGCGTTCCTGTCGGCCGTCGGTGTGATTCTGCCGTGCTGCCGCACGCGGGGCGGGAAGCGCGGTGTGGGCGCGGGGCGGCGGTCGCGGCGCGGCTGTGGGGCGGTGAGCCGCCGCGGGGCGCCCCGCGCTGCGTGCGGCACGGCGGTGGGCGGGGCCCTGGGAGCTCGGCGCCGTTCGGCGCTCGGTGCGGCGCTGGGCTCTGGGGGGTGGCGGCTCGTTCACCAGCGCTGGGAGCCGTGTCCCGCACCGCGGTGTTTTTGGTGTACTGCTCTGTAATGTCGTAAGGTATTATGTGTTATATGTATATATTCGTGTACAAACGGCAGTTTCTAATGTGGAAAGAAGTTGTTTGGTGCAACGTGACGGCTGAGGCACTGCAGTGCACGGGGCGATGCGGTGCATCCGTAGCAGATGGGCGGTGTGGCGCAGCCCATAACAGAGCAGTGATCAGTGCAGCCCATAGCAGAGAAAAGATGTGGTAGATCGTGGTTTAAACTGAGACAGGGGAGGTTTAGGTTGGATATTAGGAGGAAGTTTTTCACTCAGAGGGTGGTGAGGCACTGGAACAGGTTACCCAAGGAGGCTGTGGATGCCCCATCCCTGCAGGCATTCAAGGCCAGGCTGGATGTGGCTCTGGGCAGCCTGGGCTGCTGGTTGGTGATCCTGCACACAGCAGGGGGTTGGGACTGGGTGAGCATTGTGCTCCTTTGCAACCCAGGCCATGCTATGGTTCTGTGATCCCATAACTGAGGAGCACTGACCTTGAGTGCTCTGTCTGTCAGGGCCCTTTGTGTTATGTGACCCAGGAGGGTTTGGTGTCCTTATCGGATTCATTGCCGTTCTTGGTTATTTTTCTTACCTTGAATTGCTTTAATTTCAGTGGGTCATGTATTTCTCCTGCATTGGTGTTTTTGGAAGTGGAAAAGATAGCTCTTAGCATTGTCCTGGGGACTTGACTGCTTATAGGGGAATACAGGGGAAGTTGAAAAGCCTTGCTGTATACTGGTGAAGCCAATGATTGATAACGTGTGAGCATCTGCGTTAAAATATTTTAGATTATTATTTTTTGGTCAAAAATCTTTTTTCCAATGAGGGGTTATTTTATAGCTGAAAACCTTGAACTTGACTTAAAATCAGGACAAGAAACTTCAAAATGTTGCACATCAGGTCCTGTATTAAACTAATAGTTGTTGTATACTGACTTTGTTGTTTCAAACTGGAGTACAGACTTTCAGAAAGTAATGCTTGGTTAGAATAAAAGTGGCTTTAAAAACTTTCATGTAATTGTTGTACTTCTGTTTACTCTAAGAGTATGAAGCAGAACAGCATCCATTTCCAGACATCCCCGAATCAGCACAGAAATCTGTGAGTATAGTCAAGTACAAAATCTTCATAAGGCATCATGTTTTAAGTAACAGAATAGGAAAATGAGGTACCCGCAGAGTAGACTCATTCATAAAATGTAAACAGAACTACATTTTGTAAACAACTTTTGTGAATCAACAAATGCAATCTTCCAAATCACGGCTTTTGTCGAAAGCAACTTGGGGAGTGCTGTCCTAAAATTAGATGGCAGCTGTGTTTTGTGTGCATGGCCTGCTGCCTTCAGCTGTCAGCTTTGCAGGGGGGAGGCAGAAGTGGGCAGGGATCTCCTGCTGCTGCTGGTGCAGGCAGACCCAGCACTGATGTGTGAAACAGAGGGAGCAAGCACTGCCAAGGAGTTACGGCTCAGTTTCACATATGTGGTAGTTCACTTAGATGTGACAATTGAAGTCAGAGGAATTAAACTCGATCACAGCTGCCCAGCGTCTAGTTTTGACCAAGTAAATTCAGTCTAGGAAAACTAGTTTGGCAGACAGAAGCAGTACACAAGAACAAACCCTTTTAACTCTTTTTCCCCAGCAGTTTTATAAGCAGCAAAATTAATTATTTTAATAATCACAGAGTTAACTTTCATTTAAACTAGGCATCTTCTTAGTATGCTGTATTTAGGTTACTTTCTTCAAGGCCTTCTGGTTCAAATTGTCTGACATGTGGTAAGTTTAGGCCTTTACATAATATATCATGTTTCCTTAAGTAAAACTAGCTTCATCACAGGACATTATTGAATTTGAATTGTGTACTCTGCTTAGAACATTCATGAGTCTAGGTGTTATATATTGACATATCTGAGCACTTAATGCCAGAATGTAATAGTGTGTCTTTTTATGTTGATGTGTACTTCTTAAAATTTCCTGAAGTATCATTTTATGTATCTTGCAAATATCACTGCAGTCATTGCATATGATACTGCAGTCACTGACTTACAGGATATTGTATGTGTGATGGCCTGGGCCCACTGCTTGCTCTTGGGCAACTCATAAATCCAGCTGAATTTCAAAGGGAAACTGTTGAGATGACGTCTTTTTCACAGCATGTTTTCATACCAAATATGGTGGCAGTGCATTCTTGCGTATGTAATGGAAGGTATCTGGATTTCTCTAACAGATGTAGTTCACAATCTGCTGAAGGTACTCTCCTGTCTCACTGTAACAGTTCTTGTACTTCTAAATACATAATTGTGGACTGCTTTTTTTTTTGTGGTAACTGGAATTGTTCCTATATGAAGAAAATTCAGATTGGCATTTGCACCTGTTCTGAACTTATCTACTTGTGCTTTGTTTCTTTCAGAACTTCTGAGCAAGACAGAATATGTAAGCTTCTGAGTGGAAGAATACTTATTCAGAAAACAGTGCCAATTTTAATTTTCAAAAAATTACTGTTTTTTAGAATGGCTAAAATATTTTTAGAATTATGATATCTTACCACCTTCTTTTAAAAACAATCACATGCTGTCTCCAAGCTTTGAATGTTTTCATTCAGTGGGAACTGCAAAAAATTTAAAGTGAAATTGTTTTTTTTTTTTAAGTGTGCAGAAAATATGGAGCTAATTTAATATTTGTTTTAGAAAATCAGAATTTAATTTTTTTTTAACTGACTGACCTTACAGCAGTGTACCTGCTGAATTAGTTTCTACATTTCTTTCAGTTTGATTGGGATATTTATATAGGTTCCATTTATCTTAAACAGGTGAGTTTGGAAGCAGAAATGTTGCAGCCATTATGTACAGAACAGTTTTACCCATCCCCTGCAGCTGATGCAGTTGTCCAACAGTTGCTTCCCATACCTGAGGCAGCCCTCCTTCCAGAAGCACCTGATCCAAAAACATGTAAGTAGGGTTATATTACCTTGTACCCTCCTGTGAATATTTTTCTTTAGTTTGGCAGGAGTTTGTCACTGGCTGCAGTTCATCACAGAATCATTAAAATTGGAAAAGACGTCTGAGACCATCAAATCCCACCATCTACCTACCACCAATATTGCCCACTAAACTGTGTTTGTGAGTACCACATCTCCACAGTTCTTGAACCCCTCCAAGGATGGTAACTCCACCACCTCTCCAGGCAGCCTGTGCCGGTGCCTGGCCACTCTTTTAGAGAAGAAATGTTTCCTAATTGAACCTGAACCTGCTCCAGTGAAACTTGAGGCCATTCCCTCTTGTCCTATCACTGTTACTGAGGGAAGAGTCCAACTTCCACCTCACCACAACCTCCTTTCAGGGAGTTGTAGAGAGCAATAAGGTCTCCCCTGAAACTTCTCTTCTCCCAGCTGAACAATCCCAGTTGTGCTCCAGACACCTCACAGCTCCATTGCCCTTCTTTGGATGCACTCCAGAGCCTTGATGTCTTTCTTGTAGTGAGGGGCTCAGAGCTGAACACAGCATTTGAGGTGCGGCATTACCAGTGCTGAGTACAGAGGGATGATCCCAGTCCTGCTGGCAACGCTATGTCTGATACAAGCCAGGATGCTGCTAACCTCAGCCACGTGGGCACACTGCTGTCTCATGTTCAGCTGGCTGTTGACCAGCACCCTCAGATCCTTTTCTGCTGCACAGATTTCCAGCCACTGTGCCCCACACATTGCATAGGGTTGTTGTGACTGTTTTTCAGGACACTGTGCTTGATCTTGTTGATTCTCATATGCTTGGCCTTAGCCCATTGATGCAGCCTGTCTAGATCCCTCTGTAGAGCCTTCATACTCTCAGGCAGATCAAACTTCCCCCAGATTGGTGTCATCTGCAAACTTAATGAGGATGTACTCAGTGCCGTCATCCAGATCATCAATAATGATATTAAACAGGAGAGGCCTGAATACCAACCCCTGGGAACACCACTCGTGACCCATTGCCAGCTGGATGTAACTCCATCCACCTGCATTCTTTGGGCTGAGTCCTTCTGCCAGTTTTTTACCCAGCAAAGATCGTACCTGCCAAGCCACGGGCTGTACCTTCTGCAGGAGAATACTGTGGGAGACAGTGCCAAAGCTTTGCTGAAGTTCAAGTAGACTACAACGACAGCTTTTCCCTCATCTACCAGCTAGGTCACCTGGTCATAGAAGGGGATGAGGTTAGTTAAAGTGCTAACAGTTCAAAAGCATTAAAAAAAAAAAAAAAAAAAGGCACCTAACAGCTGAAGTGGTAACACTTACACCACCTTTTCTTAAGTGGAACTTACCCTTGCCTTGGTCTGTGTGCAGGAGCCAGCTTGGCTTCTTCGTCAGGTGAAGGGAGCTTGAATATACATGCATTGGGAATTATTAGTAGTGTCTAGCTGTTATGGTATTCTACTATCTTCTGAATTATTTGACCAGTTAGAACAGAAAGGACTAGTATTTCTGTTTCTAAATTAATAATGCAAAATTAGGATCTACAGACTAGGCAGATAATTAAAACTGCTTTCAAAATATTGTTTTACTCAAGTGATTACAAATTGGAGTGGAAATAGCTCTCAAGCCTCTTCTCTCGTGTCATTAGTGATAGGACCAGAGGGAATGGTTTCAAGCTACGGCAGGGGAGATTCAAGCTGGACATTAGGAAGTATTACTTTTCAGAAAGGGTGGTCAGGCACTGGAATGGGCTGCCCAGGCAGGTGGTAGAGTCACCGACCCTGGGGGTGTTCAAGGAAAGACTGGATGTTGTGTTGAGGGACATGGTTTAGTGGGAGCTATTGGTAATAGGTGAACAGTTGGACTGGATGATCTTTTAGGTCTTTTTCAACCTTGGTGATTCCACGATTCTATGAAACACACTAACACCAGAATACATACCTGCATAGCAGGTAGTCTGGCTTTAAATTGAGGGCAGCACTTCAGTCAATAAGACATCCCTGCTTCTCTGAGATCTTGACAGCTTCTGGTTTGTTCACCATTGCAAGAGTAGGGCTCTTACAGCTACATATGGGGTCGTGCTCCTTGTTCCCACAGGCCCAGTGAGCTTGAGTTTCTATATGTATGGTGTCCCCATTAATGGAGACAGAAGGCTCCTTCACCTTAACTAGTTTATAAGTTGGTGGTGAAAGGTCTTGTCAAAGGAGATGGGGATATGGGGAAAAGCTGAGAAGGAGAAAGTGTGAATGTCTTGGGAAGTGTACAGCCATTAGGCTTTATTTAGAACGAAGACAATGGAAACACTGGGTTGTTTTTTGTGGTGGTGTTTTGTTGATTTGTTTTTTGTTTTTTGTAACACTGACAGTAGCTGCCTTCTTTTGCGTAGAATTCAGAGCATGAGCACACAGGAAATAGGGCAAGTAGAGCTCAATGTACTGTCAGTGGAAACATAAACAAGAGATGCCAATCCAGACAAGCCTTTCAAGGTGTATGGATTAATGTTCAGATTCAGACAGATCTGTGTAGGAAGTAGTTAGGAGAGAAATCACAGCACCACTAAAATACAACCTTTTTTTCCCCTCTGCCTAGAAAGTCAGTTTTATTACCAACTCTATTACAGCAGATTGTTAAGAGCATGAATGCAGACACCAAGAGATCTGGCTGTAAGAGCCCTGAGTGCAGTGCAGGCACATTTGCTGTTCTTCCTGTCAGAGTTAATCAGTCCACATTGCTCCTCATTTCCTCGTGCTGAACTGCTTCTGGTGTCTGAGTTTTACTCTAGTCTGACATCTTTGAGGCACATGCATTGTGCAGTGTTGATGCACCTTTGATTTGAAATTTACTCAAGTTTATGTAATCTTGTATGAAGAAATGGGAGACAGACCTATGGCTGTATCAAAGTTTAGAGATGTATGTGATTCAAGCTGCAGTGCTATTGATTAAACAGCTTCTACTTCACTTATGTTATCTACTGTTTTTGAAATTTAAGTGCTTGTCTACAAGTGAAAGCTGTACTGTTTTGTGCAGGTTCTCCTCAAGAATATTTAGAGTACTACATATTTCCAGTACTCTTACCCGGAATGATTGAACTTCTGCATCAAGCAAAGAAGGAAAAGTGCTTTGAGGTTAGTTCTTAGTTTGCAGTTCAGATCACTGTCAGGAAGTTACGGCCTTTTATTTCACTGGTTTTGTTTCTTTATGTTGTGCTTGTTTACATGAAAATCAATGACAGTAGTATGAAATAATATATTGTGAGTTGTTTTGGATCTAGTTTGCTTGGAATGGTTTTTTGTCTGGTAATCCAGAATAGATTGCATACCACACACACTTCATCATTATGCCAATGTCTATTCACACCCAATTCTCCTTAAATATTCAGTTGCATCTAGCCAAAGTTGTGTTGTATTTCAAAGAAACAAACTTCCTTTCGGATTACTGTGCATCACTCATTTCAGAGACTTTACTTAATACAGTTCATTTTATTACTCAGTTATTTTTGCTGGTCTGGCATCCTAAGATAGGTATAATTTCTATTTTAGATTTTAAAAATTCTGTATAAATTAATTCCATTTAAGTGGAAAGCAGGGTATTTAGCATTGATGAGCTTATGAAAAATGTACCTTTAAAAATATTTGTCTTCTTTGTATATTTATGTATGTCTTCTGTCTGTGTGTAAATCTACCTAGAGAGGCAGTCCACACTGTACATAGGGGATACTTAAGAATACATTAGAACCAGTGCAAAAGAAAGCTTGCTGTATCAACCTAACTCCCTGACCCCCAGCAATAGATTAGGAACTCAGGGTTGTTGGGTTTGCATCGTTTCTGCTGTTTTCTCCAGCTGTGGGAGTAATTTTTTAATTTCTTCCCTACTTTTTGCCTGTCATCAACAGTTTTCATGCTAAGACTTACCTCCTCTTAATTTAATTCTAAATTAAAATGAAAGCTAAGTGAGAATGATTTTGAGATACTAGTGGGTTAATCATCTGAGGTCTAGACATACCTGCACTCCAACTACTGACATTGACTTCCTGTGATAGGTACGTGTAGATGTGATAACAGCCATCATGGAACAACTTGTAAAAATTACATATGTAGTGTTTGCCATTGCCCTAGATGTGCTTAGCAGAGCCCAAAATTCACTAATTCACTTACCAAAAATTCACCTACTATGCTTGACTGGACACTCCAAACTTGTATTTCATATCCAAATTTGTACCTTTAATAACAGTGAGTTGTTTCCATTTTTTGCTTTGTCTAAAAGACTTATGTCTGTCTGTGAGATGATTGGGTTTATAGATATGTTTGTGGGCATTTATAATTTTTGATTAATACAGGTGAAATAAGAAAGTGGTCAGTGGACGTGTCATTGTGGCTTGATATCTCTATACATTATTCCTGCCATCATCTTTACATTATCTGACCAAGAACGAATTGAACATATATATTATTCATTACACTTTAATGAAATTTCTATTGATTCAGATTTTGTTTAAAGGAAGTAGATATTGTCTAACAAAAAAAGCATGTTTTGAAGCTGCCTTAAAATACAGTCCTAAATAGGTATTACATATTTTGGAAGGCAATAGAGCAGCACTTAATACAAAAGTATTCTTAGAAATACTTTAGTTTTAAACTCTGCTCAAATCTAAAATTACTCTTCCTTTTTTAATCTGAGATATTTTGCAGAGGTTCTGTGGTATATATTTTGGAATGTATCTGTCCTCAGAATAGATTTTTGTATGCTTCTGTATGTTGCTTTATAGAAAACTTTAAAAAAAGTCAAATGCCAAGTTTAAGCAATTATTTTCTAATATCTAGAAACATCATAAAAATTAGCACAGTGTTTTTTGTGGTTATAGGAAGAAGTCCTGATGTTGAGGAAGGAAATTTAGGAAAGCAAGCTTATGCCAGATGATCATTTTCCACTGTGGCATCATTTCCTTCTTCTTTTGAACAATAACTAGTAAAACAATAGCTCTCAATCCTTGCCATATAAACGAATATTTGTGTTCTTTTCCATTACTAACCAGGTGTTTATACTTGGAACATTGTTCTCTTTTCTGACTCAAATATGTAATTTCTAATTGTACTGTTGTTTTGTGAGAAATATGTTGTTCTGTATGAATTTGAAGGAAAAAAGCATGCCACATCTTGTATTAAAGTGGCTAGTGCAATGGCTGGTACAGATTTTTAGGATAAAAAAAACAACCCTTAGAAAGCCCAGAGGAAGCTGAGAGCAGGGAGAAAGGTTCCTGTGATAAACACAGCGGAAGTAGCTTCAAAAATAGGAAGAGAACAAAGAGTAAAAAGAGTCATGGAATTCATGAGAGAACAGGAGAGCAACATGATTAATTGTGATTAAGGTAACTGAAATTGTAAAGGATGAGAACAGAATATGGGATTTGAATTCTGGCTAGACATGAGTCATTAAAACCCCTTTACAAAGGGCAGCTCCAATAGAATAAACCAGAGGAAGATAAATGGAAGAAGCAGTGCAAAAAAGAGAGGAAAAGTTGAAATGATGGCAGGCACTGCTGTGTGAGCCTGGGGGAAGAGAGGGAATGGTGGGGGAGAGCAAAGAGTGGATTGTTGATGAGAGGACTAAAGGTCTTCATATGTTAAAGGGATTGAAGAAAATGGCATAAGGGAGTTTGGGTTACAGGAACAACAGAGGAACTCAAGGAAGAGATCAGAAAAGACACCTGTCTGGAAGGGAAGAATTATAGAATCAGAAGGGAAGTGCGGAATAGGACAGTAGTCATCTGTGTAAGAAAGCAGTCTGCAAGATCTTATTTGGAAAGTGATAGAACAACTTAAACATTTGATTTGTAATAGGCTTCTTTGCATTATATAGTGAGTGCACATGAGAAATCTGAAAAGCAAAACCCTAGAAAAGCTGCCAGATATGTCTGCAGGCTTCAAATGAACTGGGAGCAGTCTGCAGGAGCTTCATTTTTAAATGAGAGATGAAAGAGACCTATTAGATTGTCCAGTGCATTCCCTTGCTGATTTTTTTTTTCCTACTGTCATTTGTCCTGCACTTTATCCTGTCTGCTTTCAAATTTCTCTGGGGAAAGGTATTTTATTAAATCTTTTCTTTCATGAAACTTGAGTAATGCATTCATTTTTCAGAATTAAGACTGAACAAGGTTTGAACATTTTTATTTTCATAACTGTGATTTTTCTTTCTTGTTGGCAATTGCAGAAAGAAATTGCTGTAGCAGACTGTGTGGAATATATTATATTTTAAAGTATGTTAAATCAGGGAAAGCGAATAGAAGAAGATCATCTGATAACTCTGGAATCTCCCCATCACCAATATTTTTGCATGATTATTACCAAGCACACTGAAGAAAGGAATATGAATTCTATGATCATAAATAGTTAATAAAGACTTTGCAAGTTAACAATGCTCATTGTGCAGATATTTCCTGTGTTTATCTTGATTCATGTGGCATAGGAGGAATGTGTCAAAGACAGGTCAATTTATGTCATTCTTTCCCTTCTGTAAATGTTGACTGCTGTGCAACTAAAGATTTAATTGACTAGCAGAGTGAGCTGTTTTGTGGCAGAAAAAAAATGAAAAAAAAAAGAGAAAAAAAAAGTGAAAAGAAAGGACTTAGACTGAATTCTTCTCTGATAAGCTTTGAATCTGACAAGGATAGGCTAAGATGAATTTGATTCACTGATAACTGTTTTGCCAACATTATTCTGATCGTTTTTCTTTCCATTGCAAAGGAACTTAAAACAGATTAAATTACTAATGCTAGATTAAATTTCATTTTCTTGACAAAGTATGGAATTTGGCTTCAGAAACAATTCACTGAATAATGATCCAGTTTTGTACTAGGCTTGGGAATATCTACATAAGGACAATCAAATACTGTTTTCACATTCTGTTCAAGTAAAAGTCATTGTGTAAAATAAGCTGCTAAGTCTCCCTAATAAAGGGTGTTGGCGTCTCAAAACTTAGGTGTTTGGCTTCTAGCAGCAGTTTTTGGCATTGTCCAAGTGAGAAAATTCCTTGGAGAGACATATATGTTCCACACAGCCAAGCATTGTAATGGAGTTATCCATGAACCCCAAAACTTCTGTTGAGAAACCTGAAAAGAGATGTGAAGTTCAGGACTGAAAGATGTTCTGCAATCTCCTCATTCTGTTCTCCCACTTATCTTTAAAGCAGTTTTCTTTCTTTTCTGTGGAAGACTAACTGTATGTCTACCTATGGTAAGATTTACTTAGAAAAGTAGGTGCTTTATGGGGGTGTTGTCTAGGGATGCTGTGCTGTCTACCTGTGAACTTCAGTGTTGTCATTCCCTGGTTACATGACCACCCTGCATCCTTCACTGTGCAGTCAGGACCTCAAAGAACCTTCCTCATCCACTTCACATGTGGCTGTGACACAAAGTGATCCTCTGTGTTGCCATTTTGTTCAAAGCTCTATTGTCATACTTAAATTTCTTCATTGCTTCCAAGGATTTGAAAGAACATTGATGGAACAATGCTAGATCCCAAACCTTGAGAGAATGACACCGCTTCTTTTCTGCCTTGCTGTTCACATGCCCCTGTCTTTTTCTTTTTTTTTTTTTTTTGCATCGTATCATGCAGTATGGGAAGAAACACAGATGATGAAGGTAGTATAGAATAAAGAAATCTTTCACGCATTAGATCTTCAATTGAATAGTTATTCTGCTTTTCTTAGCAAGTGGTGGTACTTCCATCATTTCTTACAGTTATTCAAGGCTCCAACCTTTTTCATGACATCTAACAGTTTTCACTAAAATGTTTGACCAGTATGAATTGCTTTCTTGAAGAGTAATGATTTCAGTTTTAATCTCCCATCTGACATGGTAAGTGTTACCTTCTGCATGGGAATAGGCCTTCTTTCTTCCAAAAGGCTGCTAGTTTAATAAAGTACTGATTGTCTCTCTTCGGCAGTGGCTAAATATCTTTTATCCTTCACTCTCTGGCTGTGTATGTCTGTTACACATCTTGTGTAAGAGGGATCCTGAACAGACTAGTTAATTCTGAGCAACAGTCTAGATTATATTTTCCATGTCATGGAACCATACCTGGTTTCTGAAAAGAAGAATAAGCACCTGTAGTCATTTGTACACTTTATTTGCAAGGATGGAATGCAGAGAGGGAACCTCTAGGAAAAGACAGGCCTTAATTCTAAACTGATCAAAATTCTTGCTTGGTATTACGATCAAAAAAGATATTTTGTAGTATGTAGTGCAGTCCATTTGAACAGGTCCTGTTCAACTGAGTCTGCAGTTAAAGGCTGCATCTGGACTACCCAACAGGAGATTTTATGTGAGCAGCCATGCAATGCGCTGTCATGTGTGTGTCTTACGTATGCCCAATACCTTCAAGTTTCTTCTATGCAAGAGGAAATAATGTTCCATCAATGTTCTTTCAAATCCTTGGAAGCAATGAAGTAATTTAAGTATGACAATAGAGCTTTGAACAAAATGGCAATAGGTTTACAACATATTTTCATGTATGAGTTCTGTTAATTTCTTTGCAATGAGATTGCCACTAAAGAAGATTACCCTTCAGAGACATTTCTTTCAGCTATACTACAGTGAGTATCAAGATAATGTATGTAAAATTTTCTAACTCATTTTTTGACTTGGCTTGACATTATAACTTGACATTTTGGCATTTCACAAAAGGTCTAAAATTTTGGCTGAGCGACTGACTGTTGGCAGTAGCAATATTTAAGGAGACAGAGTAACATCCCATATATTGTATTTAATAAAAACAGTAAGTTTAGCATCTGTTCCTCTCCACTAGTAAAAACATGTGACTTATCCAAAGATGATAAATAATTTGAAACTATCTTCTATCTTTAGAGAAGAAGGACCAAATTTATTGCCTGTGATTTCCTAACGGAGTGGTTATACAAGTAAGTTAATCATGGCTTTTACTGTTAATATATGTCCAGTAGCTCAAAGACATTAATTTCCAAATGGAATAGCTGCACTTTAAATTAATATTAATTGCTTTCTTTTTCTCTCTCTTTTTTTTTGTTGTTGTTTTTTTTGTTTGTTTGTTTTAATCAGCCACAATCCAAGGAGGAAAGATGAGTCATTTACAGAGTTCTTTTCCATCCCTTTTGTTCACGACTGGCTAAAGGACCAGTAAGTTATTGCAGTACTCAGAGAAACCTCTTCTCTTTTTATTCTTTTCCTCCAGTTCTTACAAAAATGTAATATGGTTTCAGTGCATTATATTTTTTCCATTCTAAATGCCCTCTACTTTGTGCAGTAAAGAACTATATGATTCTTTCTAACTCGGTAATGCATTGTTTACAATATTTTTTTGCATTAGGGTTGTTCACAGTTTAGTTGGTTTAGATTTCTTAAACATTAATTGTTAAACAGAGCAGGACGTTCAAATAACCTGGTACTATTATGAGTATCACTGTAATCAGGAACAAAACAGTGTCTTTAATGCTGCTTCCTACAGTGGAAATCTTTGAGGAAATATGGTCTAGAAGTTTTTCCTCTAACTGTAAGCAGCTGTTTTAAAAACATTTGTAATAATCTTTGGCATTAGTATGCATTCATGCCCTTATGTATGACTTTGCATTTGAGTAATGAGCACTTGTTTCAGCAGTCTCAACCCCAGGTTCCTCATTATTCCCTCAGAACCCACCTATCTAGCAGTTTTGAACCATTTGTTACTGCTCTTGAGATTGCAGTTTGCTCTACAGTGTAGCCATGGTATGAAAAAAGAAAAAAAGTACAGCCCAGGGTGAGAGAATTGGGGGAGGTCAGATCTGGGAGAAAGCTTTCTGTTAAATATTTAATTGGAGACTAGATTGGTCAATGGTGAAAACTTAGAGATGAATGTCATTGTAAACATGTTTGAGTCTTTATGCTATGTAAGTGGCAGTTGAGCTTTCTTGAACTCCTGTCATATGAAACAGAATCCTTTGGAGAGACTTAGAACCTTGAGTCACTGACCCAGCAAGAGGAAAGCTCCTTGGTATATTCTGGTCTTGGGAAGCAAGTTGGTGAGTGAGGCACAGACAGTTAACTCTGGCTATCTTAAGGACAGTCATGTTATTAAAGCTGCATAGGAAGCTTCTGCACTAAGAGAGACGTTGGGAGGTGACCCATTTCATCTCAACTGTGTTAGCTTCAGGTACCTATTACTGTTTCATACTGCCTAGTTGCTGTTGTTCGAGCCTGGTGGAACGCTTCTAACATTTTCATTCTCTAGATCACTAGGTGGTCTTGCCAACAAATTCCTAATTGAGGCAGTGATTTTGGGGTTGGAAAGCTTATTATGAAATGCATTGAGGTTGTCATACTAATTTCTTTAGCATACTAAGATCCTTTGGACAGTAAGGCAATTTTGATACCACTGAATGGTTGAGATGGATATCTATACATAAAATAAAGTTCACAGTTTTACAAACATTTCTCCTAAAAGTAAAGCTAATCTACACTGTTCCTTGCCCTCTCCTGTTTTTCATCCCAACCTGCTTCTAGTCAACATGATAGCACCTTGTTTGATAGGATGCTTGGTATTCTGACCAGGAACCTCATTCAAGTTAAAAATATCTCTGCCAAATATGAGGATTTTGTATAGCTCTTTAAAATGTTTCTCCATTTCTCCAAACTGGTTCACTTTGCATTGGCACAAATGAAAGATTAAAATGAAGGGCTCAGGCCAAGGTGAAGAGAGCAAATGAGCCGGTAAGATGTAGAGGTGGTGGCAGGAACTGCTTAAGTCAGCTTTGCCAACAAGAGAATACACTGTGGAATCACAGCCTGAATGACTCATAGCTTCTGCTAGGACTTGTGCTCCTAAATAACAGTGACAGCTCCACAAGGACACTGACGTGTCAAAGTCCTTTTTCAATTTATGCACACTTGGTCTTCAGTCCTCTGAGCAATCAGGCCTTACAAATAATTTATTGAAAAGCAATTCTATGTGAACACACCTTGCAATTACAGATTTCTTAACAAATATTGCTTATGAAGTAAGCATTACTATTTTGAAATGAAAGATTAAAATATTAAATAAGAATTCATTATGATGCCCTTCTGGATAGGTTATAAATAATTTATTATTATATCTTGCTGGACACAACATTTAAAATGTGATTGAATCTCTGTATTTTATTGTCATTTCTGTTTTTATCTGTAATTGTTATCATTTTTTTCTAATATATTCTGTACTTCACTATGACTTTTTTGGCTCTTCTCCAGTGCCTCCAATTCTTCTTTGCAGCTTTTTTTTTTTTAAGAATAGTCAAAGTCATGGTCTTATGAGCCTCACTTCCCATACAGTGTGTTTCTAAGTGAGTCTTGCAGCTGAATTTCCCTTTAGGAGACCTGAAGTCAGATTCCAGAATTTTAAATTCAAACATTGTTGCCTCAAAAGTTGGTTGTTGTAAACTTGTAAAATTACTTCAGGTTTGTTTCCAGCTTTAGTATTTACAGCAATTTCTATGATATCAGTACATAAAAGCCCTTGTCTACACTGTGCTCAGTATAGTATTAGTAGCACTGACAACATGTGAAGGCTGCTCCAAAACTAATGCCTCCTACTTCATTAGTTTGGCCCATGATGTCAGAGGCAGTTGTTGGTGCTATGGCAGTAGGTTGAACCTTCCCACCTAGGAAGGCTCTTGTTCATCACTGGTGAAACTGCGCAGCTAGTGGTGGTGTCTGTGTTGAAAAATAATATTTTGTAGCTGAGAATTTGCCCTATTAAATGGCGTTATTGTGCTGTTCATATCTGTTGTAGTTTGCAAGGAATAAATAGGAGATTACTTTGGAGCCACCTACATATTATATCCCTTGGGCATCCTTGATTATTGAAGTAGATTTCATAAGCAATAGAAGGAGCAGCCTCCACACTGACTGTTAATCTACGTTTCACTCCCAGGAGATCGCAAGACATTTATGTTGCCTTGAAGGATAGCTGTACCATTAAGAGGACAGAAGACTGGCATTTTAACAGGCAACTAACAAAAGGTTTTGGAAACTTATTGGAATATATCCCTATCCTACTTTCAACACCACTGGTATATTCAAACGAAATTAATGTAATTAAAGCCTAGGTTTTTTGCGTTCCTTCTTTAAATGTGCTAGTAAGCAACACTGTTGTCTTTTGTCAGTATTTTCCAGATGTTCAACCACATGTAACCAAACTGTATGCACTGAATCATGGGCAAGTCAAGAGCTTGATCTGTGTTTATGCCTTACTCCCACTTAAACTTTGCTTTTCTAGCATAGATAGGCTGCATCTTTATTCTGAGCACTATGGGAATGCCATGGGAATGTCTTAAGCCTATTAATGAAAGAAATAGATAGAAAACAATAATAATTAAAAAAAACCAAAACATTCCATTGCACAATATAATTTGGTATTATAGAAGTCTGATGTTAACTGAATTTAATAACATGACACTATTTTTCAAGTTTACTTCAACCCTTACACTTACTGAAAGATAATGGTGCATGGTTAGGAATAACTGTATATTTTTCTGGCTGTTGAGAATTAATCTTTGCATACGTACATTACAGGGAATTCAGGATCTGAAGATGTCTTTTATAAACATTTGTTCACAAGGGTTGTTTTATCTGCATTTCCTAATTTTCTGTATAGAGGTGTTTACTGGATGTTCAGTTCTGAAGGATACATTTCCTCATTTAATGTCTGTGTGTATGAAAACAAATGTGCATCTATAGAGCAAATCATTTATCATTGCTTTAATGAAGTGGACACATCATATGTATATCTACAAACGATTACTAAATCTGAAGTAGTGGCTTTCTGCCAGATATCTGTTTGTACATATATACACATTGATTTTGCATTTTTTTTCCCCTTTACCCACCCCAGTACTCTAATTAGAAAAGCCTGCTGGTCTCAGCTGCCTTTACAGTTGACTTCATTGTCAGTTCTCAGATGGCCAGTAGGGGTAATTTTGCATGGGTGACTGATTTCTTTCTTTCCTTAATGTGCCCGTTTTCTACAGGCTTTGCTTTCTGCAGACTGTTTTATTTCACTTGTCTGTCTCCAAATTAGCCCTATTTGGTATACATTTAATTTGCATTATGTTTTCTCTTTAATTTTCCTTAATAATTTGAACCTTACACTTTTTGATGTGATGAGCAGCACCTTTAATTATATTAACAGGGAAGTCAAACAAATATGTCTGTAAGGATTTTATTCTGCGTGGATCCAAGTAAAGAACTGACATTTCAGTAATGTGGCAGAATTCAAGTTAATGAAGGATAAAATTTTGACTTAAAAGATGATTGTGTATTGGAAAATTGCACTGTCAGAACTTCACAAACTTTATGTATTAAATATTTATGTTGTGTAATGGTGCTTTATGAGGTTGAGGTTTCAGGGCTACAAATCCTGATGCAGTGTCATAACTTGCCTTAATTTATGTAAAGATTGTCCAAGTGGCAATGAAAAATCGAGAACATACTGGTGGTTTGTGGCATCTTCATAATGGTGCTACTAGAGCAGTCGCTGGAGACTATTTTTGCTGCTGTTCCTTTTTCATATTCTGCAATATTTTTCTACTTCAATTATAGGTAATACATGCACAGTATTGTCCCCATTCTGAGGCCTTTGCGTAGGAAGAAGCAACAACCCAAATTAAATTGTATGTAGAAGGTATTTTTTCCTAAAAGCCTTGAAAGTGAAAGAAGCTGCAGCTCTAAACTGTTGGGTTTCCCAGCGCTCTGGATATGGAGGTGGAGAGAGGGTTGCATATCTAGCCTACATTCATGTGCTTTACATTAGATCTGTTCATCATTGTATATCATCAAAACCAATTAATCAGGACAAAAATTTACTACTTGTTAGTGTTTGTTAAAATTGAGAGGCAGAAATGGAGCAGGTGATTTAAAAGTGAAATGTTTGCCTTGTTCATGACCTATAGCCTATACTTGAGATTATTCAGAATACCAAAGTGTGATCTGATGAATCTGTGTAAGATTCAGAGAATGGAGGTGGGCATTAGGGGTCTAAATTCATTCATTCATTCATTCATTCATTCATTCATTCATTCATTCATTCACTCATTTATTCTTAATTTAGCTACTGATAGTATCCAGGAGCCATTAGTTACAGAAGGTAATAGGAGGTCAGACATTCAGCAAGAGTCACTCTTCAAAATATCAGCTCATTTGCACATCCTTACTTCAGGAGGTTAAATTTGCCATTGCCCACATTCGCAGTTCTTCAAAAATGTACCCTCTATATAATGCACAAAAATGCTTTCTTATATACTGTAAGGATTTTTTTGTTCCAGTGCTTTTCTCTTATTACAGTGTATTTAGATTACTGCATGTTTTCGTGTTTTATCATGACGCATTGTTACTGATAATGCTTCACAGGGAGGTCTCCATTCATACCCAGCCTGCCCTGTGGAAGTGTTACAGGAGTATTTTTGTCAATTGTCTGTGGGAATCTTCCCCTGCAAACTTGTGAGGCTCATGCAGTGACAGTGTAACATGTGATTAACGTACCTAATTAGTTTTAAATACCAGCTCAGATAAATTGGTACCTTGGTGTCCCTTTTTTATCTGCAATTTTCTTCTTGTTCTTTGTTGTTTTGGTGGGGGTTTTTGGTTCTGTTTTGTTTAGTGTAAATAATCTTAATATATTAACAGTATCTGTAAAAAGAGCTTCTGGTTATTTATTTATTTATTTATTTATTTTTGAGATGAAACAATACCTTTGGAATGGAAGAAGCATACTATGAAGGCAGGTACTGCTGTAATATTTCTACATTCTCTGGGTGGGAATAAGAAGTACTGGAAATATAAAAGATGGCCAGCATCTGATTTTTTTGAGTACTTCCCCGACCTAAGGTTTGATCAGAATCCTTTTTTAGAAGTTAAGGAAATCACCACATTCATTTACTTTGGTGTCTTATGTATTTCTTCCAATTCTTTTTCTGTTATTTTGTCCTTTAGATTAGGAATTCTGCCGTGGACTCTGTCATTGCCTGTGTACATACATGATACCAATACTCAAGAACAATAGCCACCACAGTTGGATGGAAGGTGGAGTGGCTCAGGCTGTTTGGTGTGTAGTGGCTGTTATCTTGAAACTTGCAAGCCTCCAGAAGAGGGACCTGGTGCCTCTTTGGGAGGTTACTTCATTACAAGAGAACAGCTTTCTAAAGAGAGAAAAACCCCTGGCTACTGCATTTACCTGCACTCCATCCTGCATGGGCACAATTACCAAATCCTAAATTATGCATAGTGAAAATTCCCCTCCCTTAATTCCTTTCTTACGTTTACTTTTCAAGGAAGGAATTGGATCTATCTGTAGGACAGATAGGAGCTTAACAACAGCTGGGGCTTCCAGACATGAACTGCATAACAGTACTGTCTGTTTGCAGAGCCTTTTGGTGGGACTGTGAGCCTCCATGTCAGCTTGGCTGTTTTGCTGTCGATGGAGGTTCTTCCCTGCCCTTTCTGAGAGCTTGCTGGGAAGCCCAGCTTCTCTCCAGGAGGAAACAAGACACACAGCATCAGTGAGAACCTCTCCCAGTACCTCATGCATCTGTTTAATGAAGTCTGTTTTAGACCTTCTGGGAGCTAAATTCCACCTGTGTGATGTGGTGTAATTAAAAAGTATCTCACATGGTCAGGATCTGTAAAGCTCGACTGTGCACAAAGCAAGAAATGTGTTTCCTGAAGTGTAACTGTCCTCTGGTCAGTGTCTTCTTTATTCATGTTTGATAACATCTAGTACTTTGGATAGTCGTTTTATTGATACTCTTTTACAGGTACGCCTTTATGCAGTATATCACTTATATATATCAAAATAGATATTTAAATTGTAATCAAAGACTAAATAAGCAGAAGATAGCTACTGTGCATTTTGCTGTCGGTTTTAATCTTCTTGGAGTCATACACCTGTCTTCTGCCACAGATGACATATTCCCTCTTTTCCCAGCTCGGTGCTGATGGGTGATTACCTCTGTACAGACTCTATTTTTATTTGACCCGAAGTCAACTGTGTATATTCGCTTAGACAAAAGTGGACCTGGCACGACTTTTGTTCTCTGAAGCTGCCCTGCTAAAGTGATTGATATTTCTGAAGTGATTGATATTTGCCACTGGCTGTCACACTGAAAATGAAGTCCCGTACTTCTTGCTTGAATTTATATTGGTTTCTTAACTATAGTGTTGGATTATAAATGAGACATTTTTGTAATTTATAAATGAAAGCAATGGAATGCTGTAGTTGGCCTTGCAGGCCAGAGAGAATCTCAGTCTGTTCCTTGGAGATGTACTTGTTCTTAAGAAACTTCAGTGTCTTTGATATGACTGCTGTGAAATGGGTCTCTGTAATGCAGGTCTTTCTGTGCATTTTGTACTGTAAGATTTGGTTTCCAAAAAGATCAAAAATAGAACAGTGAATGAGAGCCTGTCAGCCAAAGCAGAAGAGTCCAACTTTGTGTTTTTGAGTTTAATTATGAGAAGCAGTTAACTCAGGAAGCTTTGCTTCTCCTGCACATGCAGTTTCCCTTGAGCAGCAGAAATGCTAATTAATGCTCATAGAGCTAGCACTGTTTCACTTAGTGGAGAGAATTCTCTTCATTTTTGCCTTATTTCCATTCTTCCAAATAGTCTGAGGTTTTCTTTCTCATGGAAATAAATGTGACCAAGAGCCAAGTAATGAGATGATGAGAGCAGTGCAGCTGCGTGTGCCAGCCCTAATGGCGCAGTCAGTGCAGCACGAGGTTGTGCTCTACGTGGAAATATTCCTTCAGTGAAGATAAACCCTAAGAGAAAGGCCTCGGAGAGCACAGGAAGCTTACCACGGCAGAGACTAAAAGAAATGAAATTAAATGGAAGGAAATTGTAAGCTGTCAGACCTTCTATCCTGAATTAATGTATTTAATGTATTTAAAAATATGTTTCCAAAAGAAATGGCAGAAGTGGTGTTCTAGCCAGTAAGTGTAGGACTGGATAGATTGGTTACTTACAGTCTTTGTAGTACACTGTTTCTAGTATTGTTAAAGCAGAGTTTAAACCTGATACAGACAAAAACATAATTTGTACTTAAATCCAAATGATTGCTTCATCCAAACTACTTATGTTGTGGTCCTCTGAGTCAAAGCCATGCTGTGTCCCATGCAGGGACAGTGGCTCTTAGTGCCATTCTAACACTGCCAAGTCCATTCCTAACTAATGGTATTTTCATGAGTTGCAACACTGAAGCCTGTAGAGACTCTATTACATTTAGTACAAAAGAAAGCCGTATAAATTAATGTTGTCTTCTCCATCCAGATTGATATTTTTTAAATCAATGTGTGTGATACATAAATCAACTTTCATAAAAAATGACTTTTGCAAAGCAAGACTTAATATCATGATTTGAGGGTTTTTTAGTGATGTCTGAAATGTAGTTATTGCTTAGAGTATTTCTCAGCCATCAGAAATGCAATACATGAAATAATTATCATTTTTTTCATTTTCAGTACCTTCCACTTAAGTGAAATCATAATGTAGCTGTAGTTACTGAAATATATTGAAGTTGTACAATTTTAATAATTAGGTTATAAACATTTGTCATAAATTTGTTTGCTGTTACATGCATGCTAAAACCTCCTTTGCTTTACAAATGATGTCTCCACCATCTCCTGCTCGCATCCCACCACAAGCCCAAACCCAACTGTAATGGTAGCAATTCAGAATTCACATAGGAAGAGTAAGAAAGATCATTGTGCTTTGCATGCATTATTTTAAGGAAGAAGTCATTGTAGCATACATAGATTATATTTTAAAGGAGAAATAATTGCAGCTGTTATCTTAGAGCAATAAGAAATTGCATGTTTCAGGCTCCTGAGCAACCTTTTTTATAAAACATATTGCTAAAGAATAAAGTAATGTGCTTTTGAAGGCCAGTCTTTTACAATTTTTTTTTTTTTTTTTTTTTAAATTTAGTCCCAGGCAACCATTGCCTCTGTCTTTCTTTCTATCAGAAGAAGAAGCAAGCATAATAATTCAGGCATTCTGGAGAGGTTATCGGGTAAGAATAATCTATAATTACTTTGCTTGATGTTGAATCTGTAGGACTGTGAAGGCCTTAGGGAAAATCCTTACATAAATTTTAAGTAGAGGATTCTATAAATAGCTGTTGAGACCCTCATGGTTCATTGGCTTTGGATGTTGCTCTGCCTTATGCCTAGTGACTACAATCTTTTCACAGGCATTTACGCTGATGTAATCTTGCTGTTTTTCTCATGAAATCCACAGTGATTCAAATTTCAAAATACTGAACAATTTTCTTTTTTCCGTTGGTCTTTGACTAGTTGCTAAAATATTATTTTGTGTCATTTAGAGTTATATGTGAGTGAGCGTAGAGGTGCACGAGGAGGATCAGTGAGGTCTGTTCGGAAATAGAAGTGTATAGAAACAAAGATGGTAACACTGAGACAAGGAATGAGACCAGAGAGGAATGGGGGCTGTTCTTCACATGTTGCAAACCTTACTAGTAAAACAGTGTTAATGCAATCTCCAGTGTAAGGGGGAAAAGCAAGGCCCTTGAGTACCTTATGAAGAAAATTGGTTATTGCTGTTATTTTGGAGTGTAACAGTAGTGCTAAGCCTAGGATAAAATATAAATTATTTTGAAAATCGTTAAGAGGTTCTGGCAGGCCTTTCTTTCTAAGGATCTAAAACCTTCATGATTTTAGAAGAAATGGACTTGGAATCCATGTGACAAAAGTACCTTTATCATAACAACATCGTAAATAGCTTCTGCTATAGCAATAGTCTCATTGTGATCTGTCTATTCATCTGGTGTTCTCCAAATCACAATCAGAATAAAACGATCTCTGTTAATTTTTGCTGTCCTATTTTAACAATCATGAATATTTAAGATTTCCTACCATAAAGTGCGATGCAGACCAAAATGGTGAAATATCCTGAGATGATCTTCTTGACTGATTTTTGACACTTTGTGTTTGTTTGTTTTTCTTTATTTTTGTTTTTCTAAACAGAGATGGCGTTGACTCTAACATTAATTAGCACTGACAATATCACTGCAGGCATCCTTGCAGTGGAGTATTACAAAGGCATACATCCAATAATAGTTAGCTGAGCCCTGCATGGTTGCTCAGATACCTTGTGCTTCTACCAGAGGTTCTGAAGGGCACAATCCCTTCTCATTTTGTTAATTTTAAAATTTTCAGCATAGCATTTATCATTTGAAACTGATTCCTAGAAATGGGAGAGGAACTGTAGCATTAAAAAGTAAGAGACAGTGAAAATCAAGTGTTCTATGATATGATTCTATGTAAATAATTCAGACCATAAAATTAACAGTTATATACTTTAGCTTATTAGAGATGAAAAAACTTGGGCTTTTAAAAATTAAAACTTAAAGTGAGAATATAAAATCAAAATAATTAGTAGCAAGTTACTCTGCAGGGTTGTATGTTATCTTTGAGCTTATAAGTTAAGAAAACACTAAGTTTAAATGAGAATTCAATGCAGTAGTGATAGATTCTGAAAAATTAGAGAATTCGGATAATTTGCTTTAATATAAATAACCCTGATATGAACTTTCTAAGTTTATATTATTATTATTATTTATAAATATCTCATATAAAATATGAGAAACCAGAGCTGGTTATTTTCTCTGATATCCTGTATGAACTCACTGTGTTTGAGATGCTTCATTAGCCATGTTAATCTGGACAGTAGACTTTATTAATTGCATAGCTGGCTAAGCATCTCATCTTCTCATATATTTCACTTATTTCTGCACATCTGGCTGTCTGCATGTGCACAGGAATCAGCAAAAACAAGTTGACAGTCAATAAGGATTTTTCTATATGAAGGAAAAAATCATGTAGATATAGCGCTTTCTGGTAATAAAAAGATAACTTGGAACACTACATTCATCCTTATCTAGAGCAGATTTCAAAATAATCCTTGTTTTGGTAATAATACTTAATGATTCCTCTTCACAAAGCCTTTGCTATAGTCTTTCATACGAAGACATTTGTTTCAAATTCAATCAAGACAAATTCTGTACTACAAAGCAGTGTTAAATACAAAAGCACCAGGCCACACACTGAAATGCAAACAACAATCCAGTTGCTTTTATAACAGTTTTGTGGTTAAAAGTCAGGAAAACAACTGACAAGATAGTGGAATGTTAGATTAGGACCTTCGCAGAAGAAAACCACAGGAAGTGATGTTAGTTGTTGTAAGTGCAGCCTAGTGGGAAAGGGAAGGTTATTTCTGGGTGCAGAGCTTGCCTTGCAGGGAGGTTCAGGGTTTTTGAGCAAAGAGGCATTTGTTGCCATCACCTCCATTGTTTCTCTGGAGATCTTGTGATTGGTTTACAGATATAAAGGCTTGCTCTAAAGAAACTGTAATTCAAACCTTCAGTTTCCCACTCCTGTCATAAAAAGTCTTTTCATTCCAGGACCAAATAAAGGAATATTCAGTAATCAGTATACTTCAAAGGAGTAATGATAATCTCATCTGTTGCTTAAATATGAGACATATAAATGAGACACAAAAGCAGTCTGGCTTGGTTCTCTGAGGAGGTCGAGAAAGAAGATGTCATCTTGAGAGGTCGTCTTGAGGCAAGCAGCTGGAATAAAGCTTTTGACAGCTATTTCATCAAATATCTTTATCTATACTTATCAGATTCTCTTTTATTGACATTCTATTTATCTGTCATGGGCCAAGGCAGTATTCCAGTGTCTGATCAAAACCCTTGACTGGTAGGTATCAATTTTCCAGGCACTTCTCCATTTCAAGAAGGTAAATTTCACCCCTCTACTGCAGAATATGTGCTTAGTGCTACTTATCTTGTGGGGTCTTTTTATTCTTTATAATTTGTATAATCTAGACTGACAGATTTCTTCATTAATAGAATTTCCTCTAATGTTTCCAGCGAAAACATCCTTCCACTGTTCTGACACATTCTTACCTAGCATTGAACACTGTGTATTTGTCTTTGTAAATCCTGAAGTATTATAAAGCTTAAACTATAGCTTAAGCTGTGTTATGTAAACATATTGGTCAAGCAAAAGTTAATTCAGCATGGAAGCAGGTTTATCTCTGTATCTTACAGAGTGTTCTTGTGCTTTTGCTGCCATAGTTTGTTCCTTTCCAGTAAAGTGTGGCTACTGGTGAAGGCTCAGATCTAGAAGGTCACCTGAATATTCACTGTTCTTTACAGCAAGTGTAGATTCTGTCCGTGTGATTTGAGTTTTTAAAGAGAAATGTTATGCTTGTTTTCATTTCATAGTTGGGCTGCTGATCTACAGGAAAGACATCAGTTGAACAATACTTGAACCACTGATTACTTACCTGGAGTTTTGGCTGCTGAGTGGTGGCTATTTAATCATAGAATTGCACTCTGATTACAGAAAGGCTACATTCTGTGAAATTATCATAAATATGCTGAATTAGAGTTCCTAAAGAATATTTACAACATGAGGATAGCATTCTGTTCAGTTCCTACCACCTGTTTTACTGAAGATGACATATTTAAGCTCCTTTTTCTTTCCCATTTCTAAAAAATCTCTTTGTCCTGGGAGTTCCTGCTTGGATTTCACATGACCTTGAAGTATCTAACTCTGTCTGACAATGCCTTTCTTTATCTCAGACCCCTGTATTTTGCTGCGTATTTCACCGTACTTGCTATTTTGTTGAGAGTGTACAGAATCTACTGTGCTTACCTCCTATCTTTTAACAGCTTAGAGTCATTATCTTCATTTTCAGTATACAGAGAGCACTGTGGTATTGTTGTGGACCAAAATACAGGTTCTAAATGCCTGAACTTATAAAAGGACACTTTGTTGGATTTTTTTTCCCCAACAGTTTCATATTTAGAAGTAGGGGTACTCATTTCTGTGTCTTCCTGTCTCTTTTCTGCTGTTGTTTTTTATGTTCCATAAACATTCCCTTAACCCTTTTCTGTGTAAATAAATTGACTCATTGAAATAGAGAATTAGGGATTCTATAAAAGCTTACTATCCTCTGTTTGGGATTATATTTTATTTTTTGAAATAGTATGTCAAGGATTTCATAGAAGATAAGATAGAATTTTTAAAATATATTTCTGTGGAAAGAAGTCACTAGTAATAATAAATTAATGTTTCGTTTTGTGTTTGTTTTTAAAAAAATTTATATTCACCTTGTAAGAACTTTGTATATTCTTTATAGGAGATAATACAGAACTGTAGTAGTACAGTGGGATATTTTAAGAGGCCTAAGAAGTTTTCTCCCCCCTGTACCTTGCATTGTATTTCTGCTCTGTCAGTGCTCTGAAATATGCCAATTTCTCTTCTCCATTGTGGACTGAAAACTGCTGCTTGAGTGCAGCTGCTGTCTGTTGCATTTTTTGTTGCACCAGAGAGGAGAAATTCTGTGTGGGAAGAATACTTCTGCTAAAAAGAAAAAAAATTATATATATATATATAATATTTATTTATTTATTTTATATATATATATATATATATATATAAACAAGTGGAAAGCTGTTTTGCTTTCTGTACATCTCAGAAAAGCATGTGAAAACTGGAATGTAATGTAGTAGAGTAACAGAGTTTAAATCACAGAGCAGGCTCATTACCGTATCATCCAAGAATAAAGTAAACATAAATTCTCTGGACAGCTAAGCGGTCAGCTTCCTGAAAGTAAAGCATATCCAGGAGAAGCCGTGCATATGGCTGCTTGTTTCTCCAATGCTGTTTAATTTCAGCCTGAATAACTAGGACATTAAGTCCTAAAGCGAATGGCATTTTGTATCTGTATCATTTAGAAAAAAACTCCATTTAAAATAATGCTATTATTACCTGAACATGACTCTAAGAGAATAATCACTTATCAATGAGCAAATACTACAGTGACCACTACCTGCTATTGTCAGAGTGACGGCATCTATTCTGGATTTTTGCTCTAGTGCTGGAGGTCGTAATTGTGTGAGTGCCCAGGTGGATGATAGGCAACATACTGCTATTTAATCAAGTGTGGATTAGAGCAAATTCAGGAGTGGCGTAAGCTGAATTATTTCTTATGTTAGTAGGATCTATACCAGTACAAAAGCAATAATGGAGGAATTCAACTTAAATGGAGATAAAGCCTGTGACTGTTGTCATTCTCATGGAAGTAGAATTAGGCTTTTCATAGGAGTGATTGCCAAAGAATAGACATCATGTAATGCATTCCAATTACTTTAAATAAGAGATTAATGCCTCTTCTATTTGTGAAAATGGTGTGGCTAGGATTGCAGCTGGTAGCAGGTGTGAATCAGTTTGCTGGAATAAATTTCCTGCTGTATGACCCTTCATGTGCCTCTTCTATTCTATTGTGTTGATCAATGGGTTGGTTTCATAGCATTGTGGTTTTCTAAAGGCACTAATACCCTACAGTATAATGCTTTAAATTTTAATTAACTTGAAGAATTGGCATCTCACTGCAGTCACATTCTCAGGAGTCCCCGGTAATCAAAATGATCCCTTAATTGGCATATTTATGTTTTCGGGGGGGAGAGAGGGAGGGTGTTGTTGTCAATTGTGTGGGTTTTAGTTCTGTGTAACTTGAATGCTGTAAACCTCTGGGATCATGCTTTATATCAAGCTTTGCAAAAAGGATGGATGCCACATATTTGCACAGCCACAGCCCAGCATAAAAAACAAAGGCTTGTGACCTTGGGTAACATGAATGTATAATGTTAGTTGCATTTTCTGTTTTCCTTTTCCAGGTCCGTTGTGACAAGGAAGTACAAGAGCTGCGTCAGTGGCAAAAGCAGTTGAGAGATGAAAAAATCATTTTTCAAAGAGTAGAAGAATTCTGGGCTAGGCAGGAAGCCAAAGGTAGGTGAATTAAATTGCTTATTGTAATGATTTTTTTTTACATTAAATATTTAATTTTTATACTTTAAGTTGCGTTAAGAAATAAGACACACAGTGGAACGCTAATCATGAGTGACAAGAAAAGGCAGTGCCTGGTGTAAGTGCCTGGCTGTTTCTTCACAATCACTATTAGTTACTAGTATAGCTGAAAGTGGCAATGAAAAGTACAATACAGGGCCAAAGATCAGTAACTTTACAGAATTATGATAATGTGGTGGCACAGTATTTCCTAGTATCAGACTTCTACCAGCTGCAGAACACTGAAATGCTGATTTTTACCAGACAGGTTGTAGTACATTTTTTCTGAACTGCAGAATTTGTGCACCCTTCGCTGTGCCAACACTCATTGCTGCATCTCCATCAACATTCATAAGCATCAGCGAATGTGCTATTTTTCCACATGGAGGAATTCAGTGGCACACCTTTCCTTCATACACACTTCCATGTCAGATACCATTTTGCCAGAGTGCCCTTCTGCTGCCATCTGTCACGGGGCAACAAAATGTAATGGGGGTATTGGTGGGAAGGTTCAACCTCTACTGCTATCCCTGCAACATCTGCCCTTGATGTTGTGGGTCAACATAATGAAGTAGGAGGCATTATTTTCAGAGCAGCCTTCATAATTGCCAAAGAAAATGAGGCCATGTTGCTTTAAGAACCTTTTTTGTCTGATTTTGAACCAGGCCTTTCTGACAGGGACAAAATTATTCTTTCGTTATTCAGGCACATTGGTATGATTGTGATCACTCTCTGCCTGCTATTTGTCTACTAACACAGGAGGATTCAATAGCTCTTTATCAGCCTCTGTTGCCTGGACTCAGATGATTTCCACATAGGGATGTGAACTGCCTGTCAATAGACAGAGGTGATAGGAGTTCATTCAGCTATACTGCTCATCAGCTGATGAGAGGGAAACATCTTCTTTATCAATCACTATTGTGATTGTTCTGATGACCCTGCTGCCAGTCTTTGCCCACAACTATGTAAAGTATTCAGGATGTAGTTACACACAGTTGGATCAAACTAATGGTTGCCAAAAGGGCTCGTCACGGTCCATCTCTGGAAACAATTTCAGTGACTGTGTAACTGCACCATGGGTTTGGATCAGCAGAGGTTATCTATGGGGCAGGTTATTTTTCTGTAATGTTGCCACATGATTGCTGTATCTACCAAAACAGAAAGAGAACTGGGGACAGAGGAGGACAATCCCTTCCCAGCAGCCCATAGCTTAGTTAAATGGAGCAGAACGTGAGATGGTGTTCTTATCATAGCTGGTTCCTGTTCACAGCTGAGGAAATGCTAAACTGCAGGTGATCAGCAGGAGCTAATGGCTGGGGGGCAAATTATGTTAGATTTCTGAAGCTTGGTGTGCAAGAAGGCATCCATCAGTGCCCTCATTCTGAGCCTGGTTTTCATGAAACTTTGCTGGGAAAGGAGGTTTATCTTTGAATCCCTTCAGGGTTAAGGGAGTTTAGAATCAGGTTTCTGTGAAAGTTTTTAAAATAGTGAGTGCTGGTCAGTTAGATACCAACTATCCAGAAAAATCTCCAGCTCTAGGTTTCAAGTGATTTAAAATTGCTGATGCACAAATTGGATTAGGCAGCTTCATTGTTTTAGGACACTACTGGTCTCAGTGCTCTCAAATGAACTAGGGAGCTTTTCACTCAAGCACTGAGTATTTATAGTCACTGTTTGGAGCTGTTTCACTTAGCTGTATCTATATGCCTTGCCCGTGCTTTATTAGTTAACCTTCTTAAGCCATGTGTCCAATTTCTAGATGTTCAGAGTGTAAACTGAGACACTGAATTTATTGTGCTGTGGCTTCATTCGAAGTGGTGTTTCTCTCATTATTTTGTATGCAACCTAACTCTTCTTACTTAGGTGAGTTAGTGTATTCTTGAGCAGACATGAGGTAGGGTATTCTGGAGTTGAGTGCTTGACATTCTCACAGCAGGCTTTGTTTTAGAAACTACAGTAAGAATGTCTGTACATAAAGAGTACTCATTAATGTTACAGCTGTAGCTACCAGCGCTTATTGTTCATGAAGAGAGCCTTGCAATTCTTCAGTGACTTTAGTCATCAACTCTTTTGTGGCTATTGCTCATTCCAAAATCATCTTGCTTTTTAATAAATGATATGACAAAACTTCTTTATTAAGTAGTTAATCATTAAATAGTTCATGCTCTGTAAATGCCGATGGGATTAAGAGCAGTTAGGTCATTAGCCTAATGCACTACAATTATTCTTTCAATTTGGTTGTGCATCCAGTCTATCTGTCCAGTCCCAAGTAGATCAGAGGAAAAGGCTGGCACAAAAGTCCCAGACATTTCCCTCCGTTTGAAATCTTCTATAGAGTGTTTTTGCCTAAAGGTGAAAGAGGAATTCTATCAAAACTGGATAATTGGACTATATTTCTAATGGACAGAAGGTTGAGTAGTTATAGCACAAATCTTTCCAGTAAATATCTTAATACACAGTGCTTTTGTAACACAGTTTCTCCTCTGTTGTGTGGAGCAATATTTGAAACCACTCTCACATAACAGCTGTGCAGTTACATTCCGGTCCTGCAGCTATCACCCAGGGGCTGGGTAACCTCCTGGCTCACCTGCACTCCACAGAGCCTCACACAGAGGGAGGTCTCTCTCCAGTCCTGCTGCTCTCCCTGTAATGACAGATGGGGACAGTGGTGGTGGCTACAGGACAAATAGTTCTGTGGTTTGCAAACTTGCAAGAGCAAGGAGAGCAGTTCCCTCTTGGTGGTACTTTTTCTGCCAGGCAGCTGTTCTTCATGATCTCCAGGGAAAACATGAGCTGGAGGCTAGTTTCAGCTACGTAATGCTGCTTAATAAAATGTGTCTGTTGAAGTCTGCTTTTGTTGTGATATTGAATGATTTGGAGCATGTGTACTGAAAACTCCATCCACTGGAAAGTGTGCAGTGGAGAAACCTACTCATCCAATTCTGATTGCAGAACAAGTTGGTGTTCTGTGCACAGAGGATAATATCCATCCAACATTAGCTTCCAGCGTTCATAGTTCTTAGCATGGGAATGACTGGCCTGCATTGATACCAGTGCTGCTGCCAATGAAGTAGGATCAGATTCCTTTGAGCGGGTATTAAGGTACATGGAAAGGCAGGCCCATACCTAACAGAGACAGTACTGACTGGCAGCCCCAAAAGTGGTGCCTCATACCCACACAAGCAGCAAGGACTGCAATGAAATCACATTGTGTTTCAGCTGGGAAGGCATTATGTCAGCTGGCAGAAGCCTCACCAGGAGCATTTTTTAAATTGTTAGCCAAGAGAATGTGCATGCAAGAAAACATGCAAAAAGAAAAAATGGAAAGTTAAAATCAAAGTTGTCATAAATAATCATTTTTTCAAAAGACATTGTTTTCAAAACCTTGATGTATCACAGCCTCCTCAGGTGCCTTGCTATTATAGCAATATACGAGGACTGCTCTGAAAGTAAGGCCTCCTATTTCATTACACTGGCCCACAGTGTCAGAGGCAGATGTTAGTGGAATGGCAGTAGAGGCTGAGCCTTCCTACCAACCCTCCATTACATTTTGTTGCTCTGTGACAGATGGCAGTAGAGGGGCACTCCAGCAGAACAGCATCTGATGTGGAAGTGCAGATGAAGCAAAGGTGTGCCAATGAATTTCTCCATGTGGAAAAAATGGCACCCATTGACATTCATTAACACTTGTGAATGTTTATGGGGACAAACAGTGAGTGCTGGCACAGAGGAGGGGTAGGTGCTGCATTTCAGCAGTGATGACAGTGACAGTGGGGCACTTCTGCTGGTGCAGAATGTTATGAATTGCATGCAGCTCTTGTTCTTTGCTGTTGAAAATGCACAGCTAGAGCATTGAAAAAAATTTATTTTGTAGCCAAGAATTTGCTCGTCAATGGTTTACGGGCTGGTTCGGCCCAGTTCCGTGACCAGCGGGGCGGAGGGATCCGCAGATCCACGCCTCCGGAAAAAAGGGAACAGGGGACCCCAAAATAATTAAAAACAGCGCCAATGATCTGAGTAGAAACAAACTAATTTACTAAATATAGTATTGGAATGCAAGATAACACACTATAATACACTATAATTAAAATTGAAGCTAATAATCAAATATAATGAGAGAGAGAATGTCCAAAAGGTGGATAGGCCTCACCACAACGCTGAGGTGAGATGCGCAGTCCAGAGCACATCAGGTGACCTCGCCAGGAGTTGTATCTCGAGACTGTCTGTGACCGCAAAGTCCCCTGGGGAACGTAGTTCTTCTTCTCTTCCAGGCAGGTACCCAGAGCTTGAGCATTAACAGTTAAACTCCCAGTGCCCCACATGATGTTATGATGTGGAATACCGAAAACCAAAAATCACAAAACCATGACATTGCTCTATCAGATAGTGTTATTTTGCTCTTGTTATTTTTTTCCATGGAAATAAGTAGGAGGCATTACTTTCAGAGCAGCCTATGATAACGTAAGGTGTTACAAGCTGGCACACTTTTCTGTATCTGCATGTGCTATACACAGCACTTTCTGTTCAAAACCTCAGTTCACTATGAAATGTTTAGAACATTGAGTATTTTCTTGTCTTCTAGCAGATCTGACTATGTGTAAAGTCAGTTTTTGCAGTGATCAAGTTTTTCTTCAAGTCTTTGTGGGATTGTATGGCCCCTTTACTGTGGTCCACTAAAAGTTTAGGTTACAAAAAAACAACAATAACAAAAAATTAAGCATAAATAAATGTTCTGAAGATCAGAAAACAGTGGATATAAAAAGTAAAAGCCACATTTTCTTCTCTGTAATCCATGTCTAATTCTGTCTGTGCTAATTGTTCAGAAATTGCATTACTAAAGGTGATGATAGAGGTTGATCTAGCAGGCTCACTCATTCATTTTAAATAATTCCAGTTTGAATTCGTACTTTGATTCTCTCCTTTCAGTTTATTTGCATTTACAT